TGTTTAAAGAGGTAACCAGCAAAACTACTTTCCTTGGAGACAAGGTAGAATGGAGAGGTAAAATGATTCGTCCAAGATTTCCTGGTGATCTAGAACTCTAATCCAGCAAGTACTGGAATATGTCTGAACTTTACTAGAGAAGGGGTTGGTCCAAGATGTCGGAGGAGTAGGAGACCTAAATTTCGTCTGGTCCCAGGAATTCAGCTAGATAGGGATCAAACCATTCTATCAAATCAAATCAAACCATTCTGAACACCTATGAACTCAACAGGAGATCGAAGAAAAGGATAGCACAACTCTCTGAACAGAAAAGTGACCACTTTCTGGAAGGTAGGACGTGCAGAGAAGTGAATCCGAGGTGATATTCGGGAGGATAGATGGCGGGGGAGGGGGCTTCCATCAGCCGCTACCAGCAAGTGATAGAGCCGCGGAGCACAAAATCGGAACTTTAAGAAGTCGGCTCTGCTGAGGGATGTCGCTCCAGTGGCTAAGCAGGGGTGGAACCCTTGCGGGACAGTGTGGTCTCAGGACGCTCGGGGTCACAGAAAGACCGGGGGTGCCTGAGTGCAGAAAAGCTCCCAGGTATTGGAGCAGGGAAGCCAGCTGCAGAGACGGAGCCCAGGCGCAGGCTCTCAGCTCGGGGTTGTCATAAACCGTGATCTGGGGCACAGTCGGGCCACTGCTCCTCCAGCAGGGACCCAACAAGTGGCAGATCCAGGGAGACTCACCTTCCTCCCCTGGGAGGAGCGGCGCAGGAGCGCACCACAGGGATCTGCTGGGTTTGGAGACTCCACACGGGGTCGTGTGCCAGAGATAGAAACGTGCGGTCACAGGCCGGGTGAGCACGGAGTGCGGCCGGAGACCGGGGAGCCGGGAGTGACTGACTGCTTTTCTCTGGGGCTCACTGAGGAGCAGGGCCCCGAGTTCTCGGCTCCTCCAGGGTGGAGATTGGGAGGCCGCCATTTTCACTCTCATCCTCCAAAGCCCTGCAGAAAGCTTGCAGGGAACAAAAGCTCTGGAGAGCAAACCCGAGCAGATTACTTAGCCCGGACCAGCAAGGGCCGGGCAATTCCGCCTCCGGCAAAGACATTTGGGAACCACGGCAACAGGCCCCTTCCCCAGAAGATCAGCAGGAACAGCCAGCCAAGACCAAGTTTACCGATCAATGAGAACTACAAAACCCCAGCGCTAGGGGGGCTTTTTTCCCATGATGCTTTAGTCTTTCAAAGTTAATTTTTAAAATTTTATTTTTTTCTTTTTCTATTTTTTTAGTTGAATATTTCTTCTTTCCTTTTCAACCAACATCTTATGAATTTCTTTTTAAAATCTTTTTTAATTTTCATTTTTACAGTTATATTACATCCCTTCATCGTATTTACCCTTAGTTTTGTATATATATAAGTTTTTGTTTCTTTAAAATTTTGGGATGCAGTTCCTTCTAACAGACCAAAATATACCCTAAATCTAGTGTATGGCTCTGTTCTATTCACCAGCCTGATCACATTCTCTCTTTTTTTTTTAACTTTTTAATTTTTAAAAAAAATTTTTTAAGCAACTTATCAATTCCTTTTTTAAAATCTTTTTTAATTTTCATTTTTACAGTCATATTCCATTCCTTCATATTTACCCTTATTTTTGTGTGTACTTTTTTCTTTAAAATTTTGAGAGGCAGTTTCTTCTAACAGACCAAAATACACCCCAAATCTAGTGTGTGCCCCTGTTCTATTCACCTGTTTGATCATATTCTTTTTTTTCTTTTCTTTTCCCCCTGGTTTTGGGTCTCTTATGATTTGTTTAGTGTATATTTTTCTGGAGTTGTCGTTACCCTTTTAGCATCTTATTCTCTCATTCATCTATTCTTCTCTGGACAAAATGGAAAAACTCACCTCAAAAAAAATAACAAGAGGCAGTACCAACTGCCAGGGACCTAATCAATACGGACATTAGTAAGATGTCAGAACTAGAGTTCAGAATGACGATTATAAAGATACTAGCTGGGCTTGAAAAAAGCATAGAAGACACAAGAGAATCCCTTTCTGGAGAAATAAAATCTAACCAAGTCGAAATCATGAAGGCTATTAATGAGGGGCAATCAAAAATGGAGGCTCTAACTGCTAGGATAAATGAGGCAGAAGAGAGAATTAGTGATATAGAAGACAAAATGATGTAGAATAAAGAAGATGGGAGAAAGAGAGATGAACAACTACTGGATCACAAGGGCAGAATTCGAGACATAAGTGATACCATAAGACGAAACAGTATTAGAATAATTGGGATCCCAGAAGAAGAAGAAAGAGAGAGGGGGGCAGAAGGTATATTGGAGGAAATTATTGCAGAGAATTTCCCTACTTTGGGGAAGGAAACAGGCATTAAAATCCAGGAGGCACAGAGAACCCCCATCAAAATCAATAAAAGTAGGTCAACACCCCGACATCTAATAGTAAAACTTACAAATCTCAGAGACAAAGAGAAAATTCAGAAAGCAGCATGGGACAAGAGGTCTGTAACTTATAACAGCAGAAACATTAGATTGGCAGCAGACCTATCCATTGAGACCTGGCAGGCCAAAAAGGACTGGCATGATATATTCAGGGTACTAAACGAGAAAAATATGAGCCAAGAATACTATATCCAGCTAGGCTGTCATTGAAAATAGAAGGAGAGACAAAAAGCTTCCAGAACAAACAAAAACTAAAAGAATTTGTGAACACCAAACCAGCCCTACAAGAAATATTGAAAGGGGTCCTCTAAGCAAAGAGAGAGCCTAAAAGTAACAAAGACCAGAAAGGAACAGAGACAATATCCAGAAACAGTGACTTTACAGGCAATACAATGGCACTAAATTCATATCTTTCAGTAGTTACCCCGAATGTAAATGGGTTAAATGCCCCAATCAAAAGACACAGGGTATCAGATTGGATAAAAAAGTAAGACCCATCGATATGCTGTCTGCAAGAGACTCATTTTAGACCCAAAGACACCCCCAGATTGAAAGTGAGGGGGTGGAAAACCATTTACCATGCTAATGGACATCAAAAGAAAGCTGGGTGGCAATCCTTATATCAGACAAATTAGATTTTAAACCAAAGACTGTAATAAGAGATGAGGAAGGACACTATATCGTACTTAAAGGGTCTATCTAACAAGAAGATCTAACAATTGTAAATATTTATGCCCCTAACATGGGAGCAGCCAATTATACAAGCCAATTAATAACAAAGTCAAAGAAACACATCAACAGTAATAGTAGAGGACTTTAATACCCCCCTCACTGAAATGGACAGATCATGTAAGCTAAAGATCAACAAGGAAATAAGGGCTTTAAATGACAGACTGGGCCAGATAGACTTCAGAAATATATTCAGAACATTCCATCCCAAAGCAACAGAATACACATGTTCTCTAGTGCACATGGAACATTCTCCAGAATAGATCACATCCTGGGACACAAATCAGGTCTCAACTGGTACCAAAAGATTGGGATCATTCCTTGCATATTTTTGGACCACAATGCTTTGAAACTGGAACTCAATCACAAGAGGAAAGTTGGAAAGAACTCAAATACATGGAGGCTAAAGAGCATCCTACTAAAGAATGAATGGGTCAACCAGGAAATTAAAGAAGAATTTAAAAGATTCATGGAAACAAATGAAAATGAAAACATAACTGTTCAAAATCTTTGGGATGCAGCAAAGGCGGTTCTAAGAGGGAAGTATATAGCAATACAAGCCTTTTTCAAGAAACAAGAAAGGTCTCAAATACACAACCTAACCCTACACCTAAAGGAGCTGGAGAAAGAACAGCAAATAAAGCCTAAACCCAGCAGGAGAAGAGAAATAATAAAGATCAGAGCAGAAATCAATGAAATAGAAACCAAAAGAACAGTAGAACAGATCAACGACACTAGGAGCTGGTCCTTTGAAAGAATTAACAAGATTGATAAACCCCTGGCCAGACTTATCAAAAAGAAAAGAGAAAGGACCCAAATAAATAAAATCATGAATGAACTTTACTAGAATACAATTCTACTACTGTTTGCTTTTTTTATACCTTGCATGTAACAAAGGGGATTCATTTGTCCTGTATTCCCTAGCAGGACTTAAGACCATCATCAGCCTGCCTGTGTCCTAAGCTGGAAACCTTGTTGATCCTTTAACCCCTCCTTCCCCATGTTCTTCCAGCCCCATGCCGTACTCCAAGTAATCTAAGCAGCCGCTAAGAGCCATCAGCTCTGCCCAAGTAATGCCTGCAGAATCCGGCCCCTCCGCTGCACCTCTAGTTTCTGTCCTTTTTCCATTCTCACACGGCTGTGACAGCCTCTTGCTAGTCTCCTGCTAGTTTCCAGCCTCCAACTACCATGAGTTAACTTTCTAAAAGCCACATCGGATCAATTTGATTTACTCTTTCTTGCTTAAAAACACCTGTTGGCTCCCCACTGCTTTTTGGGAACAAAGCCCAAGCCCCTTGGAGCAGCAGAGCAAACCTTTCAAAATATGGCTCCAAGCTCACGGGACCCTCCCTCCTACACTTGCCTTGTCACTGCTCCGGCCCCGCTATTCTTTCATACCTCTGCAAGTGCTGCTCCTTCGGCCAACAACAGCCTTCTGTTCTTGCCAGTTTGCCACACGCTTGTGTGATTCTGCTAGTCCTGGCTCAACGGCATCTTCTCGGCAAAGTCTTTTTTTTGCAATCCCCCCTGACCTGCCGAGAACCTCCTGAGCCTTTGTTCGGAATCCTGCTGTAGCCCTTACCGTGTTGGTCCACTCTGTGCACACATCAGGCACTCAACTGTTTGCTGATTGAGTGAAAATATTTGTGGAGAGGTAATATTAGTCTGTGCCAAAAGCATACTCATTTCTAGAAACGATTTGACTTCTCAATCAGAAACATAGCTGGCTGTCTGTTAAAATGAGCGACTCTTCCTCCCTGACACCTTTGTTTTGTTTACTCACACAAAGCATATGATACCTTTTCTTTTCTTTCTTTTTTTTTTTTTTTACCTCTTCAGGCAACACGTCTTGTTCTTGTGCTTGAAGATAGATCTCTTGAAGTTTTTCCTTTAGTAATTCCATTTCTATTTCGTTGACTTGGCTCTCACTCAGGTAAACTCCTGTTTCATATTCACACCCATCTCGCTGATCTTCGGCGGGGATGTGAACAGCCCAGTCAGATGTCAGCAGCTGTTGGATTACCGAACAGATGTGTGAATGATGGAATGGAAAAGATGCTCCACTGGGTTGCTCAAAGAACTTGTAACTAAACATCTTTGACTGGATCCACTTTAGCAACATCCTGTGGCCACAGAAAAGCTTCTCAAGCCCAGCACAATTATGGATTTCATATCAACATTTTCCCCTCTGCTTACATTCTAAAATTTCATTTAAATCTAACAAACTTCAACTTTTAATGAGTGGCTGCAGTTGTCTTTTCCCCCTTAATTCTTTATGCCAGAACTGTTAAATCTGATTTTTACCTGTTCTATTCTGGTGTATGTTGCCACAATCTCTGGAATATTCTTGAATTCATTCAGGAAATTTTGGATCTTCATCTGAAAATCTCGAAGCCACAGAGAAGACACTTTCATCTCTGAAGAATGCATGATTTCGTTACGACACTTAATCACCTACCGAAAGGCCAAAAAGGATAGAAGGTTTCAAAGTCAAACGATGGGGTAAACAAGAGATTTTGTAGTTCTGAAGAAAAATTACAGAGGCGCCTGGGTGGCTCAGTTGGTTAAGTGTCTGCTTGGGCTCAGGTCATGATCCCGGGGTCCTGGGATTGAGCCCCACACCGGGCTCCCTGCTCAGTAGGGGAGGGTCTGCTTCTCCCTCTCCCTGCCGCTCCCCCTGCTTGTGCTCGTTCTCTCTCTCTCTTCCTCTCAAATAAATAAAATCTTTAAAAAAAAGAGCTATGCCACATGACATATGTCAAATGGAATAAAAAAAAGAAAAGAAAAACTGCAGAAAGGCTTTGTTAATTACAAAATCCACAAGCGTGGCCTATAGATGCTACCAGGGCTTGAGGGGATGTTCAACCGCTTGCTACTTGGGAGTCACTGGAATAAGAAATACAATCAAGCCTACAACTACTGTTAGCTCTTGAAATCTTGTGACTGGCTGGTTAACTCTTACACAATCCCTCAAATCTCTTAACTTAAAACCACCTGCTAAAGAGCAAGAGTATTGGTTTCTGGCTCTGGGTACACCCAAAGGCTGAAGCAGACAATACGAAAATCTTTTAAATATTGTTGGAGCTCCAGGAAGCTGGGTCAAGGGGTTAAATATATATCATGGGGCTTGAACTCACGACCCCAAGACAAAGACCTGAGCTGAAATCAAGAGTCGGACATTTAACCGACTGAGCCACCCAGGTGCCCCATGTCTCATATATTAATATATAATTCACAAAGTCTTCAACATTCTTGGTTAAAAGATACAAAGGGGTCAACTTGGTACTGTGACAGTTTTTGCCTCTGCTGATACCAAGCAAGATTCTCAGTCCTTTCAGCTGCTGGTATGCCAGTAAAATACACATGCATTTTCTCTGCATGTTATATATAATCCAGATATGTTATATACTCTTTTTGATGACTCTCAGAGTAATAAATGTGCAAGAGCTGTTCTCTGGTGAAACAGAGAAAGTCTAAATCCCCCAGAGGAAATCTGACAAGCATCGTGATCTATTCTGACATTGTCCATTAGTGTTTATACTTCCTTCAGTTCTGTGTACCTTGGTCTTGCAATTGTCTAGCCAAAGAGATGCAGAAAGGCAAGATTCAGATGCTGGCATATGATGGACAGAGTGATGCACTGCTTTTCTATTTATTTTTTTTTTAATATAGAAGATTACTTTGCTTCTGTTTATGGCATACCAGGGAAGAGAAATTTGTGATTTATCTATTTTAGTAGCAAACAGTATAAGATCAAGGTGCTGGGAAACCTCAGTGAGGGAGAACTAAGGGGTCAATCTCCTGCCTGCATTTGCATGGGGCTTCTCGGACATATAGAAGGCGCGTGTGCCGTGAGCCCCGCTAGCCCACTTAGTGACGCCAACCCTGAACCAAAGCTTAACGTTCCTTGCACACCACTGTTTTGGGGCCAGCCTGTGTGCTATGTGTGCACGGCTGCTTTGGCACCACAGGGTGCGTCTCTCAGCTGGTCTTCACAGTACCGACCCGACTGACCCTCACTGTATGGTTTTAAATCCGCCGGCTCTTACCTCTGTGACTTTCTTTCGATCAACCGTGAAGTGATCGCAGGAACTGATGAGACTTAAAAGAGCAACGGCATCACATTCCTCGGGGCTGGTTTTGTCTGCCAGTCCTCGGGGCATGAAGGCCTACGATAGGGGACGCACAAGGGACACCTGAGTCTCCTCCAACCCTAGGAGCTAGAGGGGCAGGTGTCATTTGCCCGCTTCCCAAATGATGACTGAAATTCTCTGAGGTTTCGAGGTCGAGCCTTGTGAGTCCAAAATGTAAGTTCCGGAACTGGTGTCAGAGCTAAGCCTTGGCCAAGGGTGGTAACCGAAGGGCTGCTCTGCCTGTCCCCTCTGCTATCGGAAATACTTAAACACTCAACAGAACTGATTTCCTGTCCTTTCCTAATGGTGTAGAAGCAGGCTGCACGGGTAGGAAGCACTGAAGTTTCAGTGGCTGAGTTGTGGAGAAGATTTGAAATTTAAAAATAATAGTTACTGCCAAATGGGCACTTTAAAGATGACTTAAGCAAGGGGTGCCTGGGTGGCTCAGTCGTTAAGCGTCTGCCTTCGGCTCAGGTCATGATCCCAGGGTCCCGGGATGGAGCCCCGCGTCGGGCTCCCTGCTCCACGGGGAGCCTGCTTCTCCCTCTGCCTCTGCTGCTCCCCCTGCTTGTGCGTTCTCAAATAAATAAATAAAATCTTTTTAAAAAAAATAAAGATGACTCGAGCAAGTTCGTGTGGTAGCATAAAGTTAAGAGCCTGGGCTTTGCAGTGTGACACAGCTGGGTTCAAATCCCAGGTCTGCCACTTGCCAACTGTGTGACCCTGGGCAAGTTACTTACCCTCAAATTCCTCATCGGTAAGTAGGGGATAAGTGTCCTCATCCACCTCGAAGGACATCGTGAGAATTAAATGAGTTAATGCAGGGGATGCACTTGCAAGGTGCCTGGCACATGGTAAACCAATAGGCCGTAAATGTTGGCAATTATTATGTTGATGGTGCAAGGTGAGCATGACCTTCCCAGGAGTTACAGATGAGTCCTAGGGTTTGAGATGCTCAATATATCAGAAGGGCCTTGTTCTAGCATGATCTTGCCTTTTGTAGGATTTTAAGGCAGGGACCCCCAAAATGGTGTCACCACAAGGCTTGGGTGTGTTTCTTTCCTGAAATAGTCCCAAATTTACACCTGAATGCAAAAACTTTACCAAGCTCGGAAGCTCACCAGTACATTCCTGCCAAGGGACTAGAAAAGATGACATATGAAGATTGCTTGCAATAAGAATTCTAAAGAGACCTGTTCCCTTGAAAAGAAACACATCTCAGCAGGCAAGCAACTGCAATGCTCCCTACAGTGCTGCTTGTAATGGTATTCCAAAAAGGGTTATGGTCAGGGCTCACACACCCCAAGGAGAGTCAGGGCTACGTTCCTCACAGCAGTGGAATCCTCCGCTGGAGCCTCTCATAATTAAGAAGAACTTTGTAGGGGCACCTGGGGGGCTCAGTCGGTTGGGCTCAGGTCCCTTTGGCTCAGGTCATGATCTCAGGGTCCTCAGATCGAATCCCGTATTGGGCTCCCTGCTCAGCGGGGCGTCTGCTTCTCCCTCTCCCTCTGCCCCACCCCCTCGTGCTCTCTCGTGCACTTTCTCTCAAATAAATAAAATCTTAAAAAAAAAAAGAACTTTGTATGCATGAATGGCCCATATCAGAAGGTACAGTAGCCAGTACCATCACTCTTTCCATGTCTTAACAGCCACTGACATGCTGAGCCTCTGAAAGTCTATGATACATGCTATGATTTTTAAAAAAATTTTATTTACTTATTTATTTAGAGAGAGCACACCAGCAGGGGGAGGGGCAGAAGGAGAGGGAGAGAGAGAATCCCAAGCAGACTCAGCACTGAGCACGGAGCCCAACGCGGGGTTCAATCAAACGACCCCGAGATCATGACCTGAGCCCAAATCAAGAATCGGAGGCCCAACCAACTGAGCCACCCAGGCGCCCATGGATGCTATGATGTTAACACACAAGTTAACTCCTGTATCACAGCCAAACTAATGCAACGAAACTGAAGGAAAAAAAATTTACTTCAGCTCCTGCTGGGAGGATGATCCCAAAGTTAGAGGGGTCTTAGGTGCCACAAAACCAGGCATAGTTTTTCTTTTCCATGACAAGGTATGTCCTGCACCTGGCCTTTTCTCACCAATATAGACCTGTTTTTTCCACACTCACATTTCATTCTCGCAATTATTCCCTTTCTTCCGAACTAGAAGCCGACAGGGAGGCTCTGCTGCCTCCTTGCCACCGAAAGGAGTTTCTTAAAATGGTATCATGTGCCACTGTGTTCCAGATGTCAAATGCACAGCAGTGGGAAACATATGTTACTGCGTCCCATTACCCTCTCCTGCCTCTTCAGTGAGTAGGAGGAGATGAGACTGCAGAAACAAACAGGGGCCAGATCACGCTGGGCCTTACTGGCCCTGGAAAGGAGTTTGGAGTTTATTCTAAGGACATCAGGGGGCACTTGGGTGGCTCGGTTGTTAAGTGTCTGCCTTCGGCTCAGGTGGTCCTGGGATCAAGCCCCGCATCGGGCTCCCTGCTCTTTGGGAAACCTGCTTCTCCCTCTCCCACTCCCCCTGCTTGTGTTCCCTCTCTCTCTCTCTGTGTCTCTGTCAAATAAATAAATAAAATCTTAAGAAAAAAAATTTTTAAAAAAGGACATCAGGAAGCCAGCCAAGGGTTTTACGCAAGGGAAGCTAATTTAAAACTAAATCTAATTCCCCCTTGAAGACCACACATCCTGCTGTGTGGAGAACCGACCAGAAGCGACCGGAGGCAACCAGAGCAGCGGCAGAGGTGGCCGGGCGGGAGGCTGTCGCCAGAGGCCAGGCAGGAGGCAGAGAGAAGGAATCCAAAACTGGTTTGCAGGTGTAAACAAGGGGGCGGTGAGCGGGAGAGATGAAGCGAGGGTGGTTGTAGGTCGTGGCTGCTGGGGCATAGCCGTGGGTTTGGGGAGTAGAGATGACGAATCCTGCTTGAGAAATAAACTCAAAAGTGCCCAGGCGGGAATAAGGAAAGGGGTGGAGCACGCAGCTGGAGAGGGGCACCTGGAGCTTAGAAGAGAGGGCAGGGCTGGAGGGACAAATTGGGGAGCCATCAGCATGAGTGTAGTATTTAATGGTCAATTCCATGGGCCGGGGCAGTGTGGCCAGAGCAGAAGAGGGGGACAGAAGAGGCCTGAGAAAGGCCGGCCGAGGACGGGAAGGAGGCTGAAGAGGAGGAGCCCGTGCGGGGATAATGACGTCACAAAGCCACGGGTGTTTCAAGAAGAGGGGCCAGTCATGCCAAATGCCTGAGAGGAAGGAAGAGGAGGCTGGAGAACTGAAGGTCACGCATGCCCGACACGACAGACGCGGTGGGCTGGCAGGGGCAGAAGCCAGGCTGGAATGGGTTGAAGAGTCACCGGCAGCTGAGGAAGAGAGGGCAGGCATAAAACCCTTTCTGAGAAGCTCCACTGGGTATGGGTATGGGAGGCAGATACAGAAATGGGGAGAGAACTAGAGGGAATGGCTCAAGGGAAGCTTTTCTTTCTGTTTAAATTTTATTTTCCAAATATTTATTCAAGGGTTTTTTTTTTAAAACGGCTTGAGATATAATCTACATACCATATAATTCACCCCTTTGAAGCATAGTTTTTTTTTTAAGATTTTATTTATTTGAGAGAGAGAGCGTGTGTGTATGAGCAGGGGGAGGGGCAGAGGCAGAGGGAGAAGCAGACTCCCCGCTGAGCAGGGAGCCCCATGTGGGACTCGATCCCAGGACCCTGGGATCATGACCTGAGCCGAAGGCAGACGCTTAACTGACTGAGCCACCCAGGCGCCCCCCCCCTTTTTTTTTAAAGATTTTATTTATTTGAGAGAGAGAGAGAGAGAGAGAACATGAGCAGGGGGAGGGGCAGAGGGAGAAGCAGACTCCTGCTGAGCAAGGAGCCTGATATGGGGGCTTGATCCCAGGACCTGAGATCATGACCTGAGACAAAGGCAGCCGCTTCACCGACTGAGCCACCCAGGTGCCCTTTTTTTTTTTTTTTTTTTTTAAGATTTTTATTTATTTTAGAGGGGGGGCAGAGGGAGAGGGAGAGAGAATCCCAGGCAGACTCCCTGCTGGGCTCAGAGCCGGATGCAGGGCTCGATCCCAGCACCCTGAGATCACCACCTGAGCCGAAATCAAGAGTCAGACGCCCAACTGACTGAGCCATCCAGGCTCCCCAGTTCATTCCTTCTCATGGCTAAATGACATCTCATTGTATGGACAGGCCACATTTTGCTCATCCATTCATCGGCTGATGGACATTTATGTTGTTTGCACCTTTTGGCTGTCATGAATAGTGCTGCTATGAACACTCATGCAGCACAGGTTCTTGTGTGGATGTGTATTTTCATTTCATTGGCTACAAACCTAGAAGTGGAACTGCTAGGTCATATAGTAACCCTGTGTTTAATCTTGTCTTTTAAAAAAAAAAAAAACTGAGGGGCGCCTGGGTGGCTCAGTTGGTTGGGCGGCTGCCTTCGGCTCAGGTCATGATCCTGGAGTCCCTGGATCGAGTCCCTGGATCGAGTCCCGCATCGGGCTCCCTGCTCAGCGGGGAGTCTGCTTCTCCCTCTGACCCTCCCCCATCTCGTGCTCTCTCTCTCTGTCTCATTCTCTCTCTCAGGTGAATAGATAAAATCTTTAAAAGTAGTTCTCTACATAATTTAAAAATAAATAAATAAAAAATAAATAAAAATAAAAAATTAAAAAAAAACTGAATAAACCGAGGCGATATTAAAGCTATCTGTATGGTGATGGGAATAAACTGCGAGGGAGACAGAGTGGATACCTGAGGGCTGAAAGTCTGTGGGCAGGTGGGAGGCGATACGGTCCAACCTACAAGTGGAGGGCCAAGGTGGTAAGAAGAGAGACACCCTTCCTCTTCTGTGGCAGAAGGAAGAAGATGATGCACATGGAGGTAGGTTCGCAGGTCTGGTAAAAAGATGAGGAAGCATGTATGTGGGGGCATGCATCAACTGCAGGGAAAATGCACGGAGTCAGCAGCTGGGAATGAGGGTGGAGGAATCGGAGCTTGGCAAGGGAAAGACAGCAACAGCTGTCCCCAGGAGCAGGAGCCCTCTACAGAGCCGCGGCCAGACCACTGGGGCACAGAATCAAGAACTAAAAGTGAAACCAGTCAGTTCCCTTGTGAGATTCTTCCCCTGAGCACAAGTAGGTGATGGTGTCATCAGGGCTGCCGTTGGGCCGTGCAAGTTCAGAGAAAGGAGGAAAAAAAGGAGGATGTGGTTGGAAAACATAAACACCGGGGTTGGACTAGAAGGTCTGTGGGTGACAGCAGCAAAAAGGGGCATGGGCAGGGGACATGGGCTTCGAGAGGATTCTAAGGGTATGAAAGCAGCAACGAAGACCAAACAGGTGAGGGACAGTCACAGTAAAGGGCAGAATTTTAAGTTTCTTTCTTTTGTAGGTAAAAGTAAGAGTTGGCAATTCTATGGTGGCAACAACAACAAAAACAAAAAAAATTGGGATGAGGGTGTAGATGCGGTGGGTTTATGGGCCCACGATAGCCACGAGTCTGTGGCCACTGCTCAAGTCCAACTTCCTCATTTTTGAGGTTTAGGGAACAGAGGCTGGCCTAAGGTCACACAACAGCAGCAGAGCTGGGACTCTGATCCCTGCTTCCAAGGCACCAACCCTGTGCCTGTTGCTAATCAGCATGTAGACAGACTACAAAAGTTAATGTGTGTTAGGAGGTGACTTTGCCTTGCCCTACCCCTTACTGGGCTTCTGGAAAACATTAAAAAAAAAAAAAAAATCCCCAACTGGCCCAGCTGGCAAGTCAGAGTGGCAAGATCTAAAAGCCTTCTATCTGGCTGCCCACTCCACCCGACCTCCCCAAAGTTTTATTCCTTACCTGGCCACTTAAAGTCCTTTCTGTTTTAGCCCTAACTTCCCTTGGCTTCCTCTGCCATCCTGATAGCACCCTACAGCCAAAATGAGCTACTCAGGGAGCCTACACTCAACCCTTATGTGTTTCTCCCTCTGGGCCTGTGCTCATGATGCTCGCTCTACATCTTGGGTCAGCGTCTCTTGTTGAAATCTTTGCTACAGCTGTCCAAGCAGGGGTAGCAAACTTAAATGCCTTGTTAGAAGAAAGAAGCAAGCTTCTACTTCGCTAAGCTAGATCGGATCCAGACAGCAGCTCTGAAGCGCCTGGACACTAGACCCTAGATCAAACACCCATTCCTCTCTTTCTATATTTGCATCTGTTTATGGGGCTCTGGGCTCCAGGTGACCGGCTGCCTGGTGGGTCACCTCCTACCCTCCTGAGCAGGTGCTTACCTTGGCCACCTCCCAGGCGTCGACGGGCCAGCGGCCCGGCCGGCAGTTTCCCCAGTGGACGTCTCCATTCCTGTTGGTGTGGTGTTTCAAAATCTCCCGTTTCCACTCTGCGCAAACCTGACACTGAGGCTGAAACTACAGGGGGCGGGGGTGAGAAGGGGCCCGGGAGGGAGGGGCGGCGTCTTGGGCAAGTGAGCCCGGAGCGTTGCGGTCCGCCCCGCCCCAGGAAGGGCTCGGGACCCTACGCTCGGGGACCGGGACGGGAGACGCGGGGGCCAGGGGCTCACCTGGCGGGCGTGCGGGTTACACCGAGAGCCGCTGCGGCAGGCGGCGCGGGGGCCCAGGCTGGGGGCGGCGGCGAGCAAGCCGCGGTGGAAGGCGAGCACCTCGCGGGCGACGAAGCCCTGCAGGCAGCCGCGCAGCAGCAGCAGGCAGTGGCCCGCCTTCACCCAGTTCTTGTACTCCGCGCAGTTGAGGCGCGCGGCCAGTTCTGACAGCACCATGTCCCGCTCGGGCCCGGGAGGGTACGGGAACACGGGCGAGAGGCGGGGCGAGCGGCAGTGCGCAGACGCGGACGTCTGGGCGCTGCCGCCGGCCCCGCCCGGAGCCCGCCCCTACGTGCAGGGCGAAGGGCGGGGCCAGAGCTCTCCGCGCTGCGCCCTGGATCCCGGGGCGGAGCCTTCTGGCTTCAAGGGTACGCCTTCCCCACCCGTGTTAGGTGACAGCAGATGTGTAATTCCTTTATCCCGTGCTTGCCCAGAGAGCTTGTACCTGAAACTCTTAACGCCCTCTTGTCTGTTCCCCCAAACTGAGACCCTGCAAGTCCCCGATTCGACTCCCTCTCCTGCTGTCTGTGCTCTTTTATTGTAAAAACACAGAAGATGCTCAACGCACACTTTTTGAATTACGTTATGTTCCTTGCATTATACAATTCTATAAAGTTTATTTTGTCCCTAAGCCCAACAGATTGGCTGTAGCAAGTAAGGGTATTAGTGCAGTGTGACCGCTGGCTACCTGCAGCACGCATCTACCATGCGTCTGCAGTGCCAAGGCGACACAAAACTCAAAAACATCCGCCATTGGGCCATCTAGCAAAAGCGAACAGGACGACGCATCCCCTGGATTCTGTGGAGGGCTGCGCCGCCCAGAGCGGGATAAGGGCTTCTTCCACTATGGTCCTGAAGAATCCAGCTTAGATCATTATTTAATACTCTTGGTTATAATTAGTGCTTCTTACATAAGGCAGTCTTAGTTAACTTCCAAGTTAAGTGCCATGAGGATCAGAAGGCAATGGACTGTCAGCTCTGTACGACAAGAAGTCCTCTCAGTTTTAGTTGCGTTTTAGTGAGCTTCTTGAGCTTGGAAGAGTGTTAAAATTGTGTGTAGTCAAAGGGCTCTGGGGGAAGAGTCTAAACAAAACTTTCCCCTGACTTCGTGGTTAAGAGCAAAGTGGCACAAGTATGTAGGAGCTCTAGCTCTGAATTTAAAATGCCCCCTTTTAACTGTTTGATCTTAAGCAAACTTAATTTTGATATCAGCAAATTACTTCATTTCTCTGGGCCTCAGTTTACTCATCTGTAAAAGGAGTATAACAATACCTACCCCACTGAGTTGTGAGGATTAAATACACATTGAAATACTTAGGACAGTGCCTAGCAATAGTAAGCTCTCAGTAAATATTAGCTATTATTTTTACATTGATCTAAACGTGCCCTTCCACCAATCTCATATTCCTGGGCAAGGTATTTGAACAAATCACTGGCTACTTGGAAGTCTCCTGGGGTTGTGCAGCAGCATGCTGGCTAACCTCTGCTGCCTTTTTCTTAATAACCTCAATACTAAATCCACCCTAAGTAAATTTCAAATCATTTCCTTAGACATACTGTCCACTCCCATCAAACCAAATGAAAAAGGAACTTCCCCAAGAAATAACAAAATATATAGTAACAGTTTTCCTTTCTGTCCTTTAAGTTTCTGATAAGCTCTCTTACAATTTTCTGTATATTGATTTTATACCAAGAACCTGGATAATAAATATTAAAGTAAAATATAATGGGTAGTTCTTTGTGGGAAAAATCATGAAAGAAAGGAACTTTTTTAATGTAGAAATTGGATTCTGAATTGAGTAGCAAAATTTTACTTTTTGAAGTTACCGAATTAATAATGGTCCAAATGACTAACGGTTAGTAGTATCCTGTGGTTGAATGAGTTACTGTATTAACTGCAACACAGTTATTAGTGGTATTTAAATTCAAATCATGTATATTTTAGTTTCTGCTTGCACTAGCTCAGAGTTAACTTTCAAACATAAGGTTCAGCCCCTGCTATTAATAACTTGATATGTTCTGTTGAATATTTCACTTTCTTCCTAATTCTGAAAGTACTTCTATACATTCTGAAATGGCATTTCAGCAAACGAAAAAAAGAAGTTGGCAAATCAGGACCATTTCTTCTTTCGAGATCTAACTAATGCTAAACCAGACTACTATCCAAAACATCTCCGTGCAAATTAACTAGAGAGAGTTGGTAGTTCTCTGAAACTAGTATAAATTTTATTACCGAGATTACTAAAATCACATTGAAAACACCTTAAAAGACCCCAACCACCTATCAGAAAAAAAATCACTATGGGCATCCCGTCCCTTTGATTGAACCTGGGTAACAAAAGAGGCAAAAGACATGGTTTATGCTGAAACCTAAGATTTGAACGCTAGTGTTTTCAAGCTTTAATAAAGTAGATACCAATTCCAAGTACCAAACATATCAAAATTCATATTCATGGGTTTATTCTTAAGCATCGAAAGCAAATTCTGCTCACTGAATCCTATTTTGATTTGCATGAGGCATTCAGAGATGAGTTATAATCAGGAAAAAAGTATCCACTGAATGCATCGTGTTTTAAAAAATACAATTAACGTTTCAAAACCACACTTAAAAAGGAGAATACCCGAAAAGTTTACTCTTTTCATAAAATGAGACAGTATTATCCTGCAGATAAAAATACATTTCTTGTATATACATGTAGATTTCTACATGAAAGAAAGGACTCAGCTCCCGACAGAAAAGGGCTGACCCTTGATATAAAGACATGTTAGATTGCCAAACTGATGTGATTCCCATTGTAAGGAGAACTGAAAATCGAAGGATAAAGGTAAGTTAAAGGAAGGATAAAGTCCAGTCACCTGCTCCTGAACAGCGGTAGAGCTGGGCGAGAAGCAGGGGATAACAGTAGAAATAAGACACCGAAGAAAGGCAAAGAAGGCCTCGACTCTGACCAGAAGTGAATGGAGAATCAAGCGAAGTTGAGAACAGATAGGACATAGCTGCAGTGAGATGCCTGAAATTAGAATTTGGTAGTTGATAGTTAACAGAAGCTCAAATCACCTTAAAGTGGACTTAGAGCGTCTACAGTTTACTGGAGAGCCAATATTCCAGTGACCAGATAACTCAGTACAGTATTATCATATAAAAAACCTTCCCAAATAACATTAGGTCACCAGAAGACCTTTGCTTCTGATCACATTCTCTGAAGCTTAAAAAAGTCCCTGACTCACTGGGAGAGACAACACGGTGCTCCAAAAAGAAACTCTGCTGAGATGTGTCAGTACCAGAAGCTCCACTTGACCCTGGACGGGCACTGGATCTTGGATTCTTCAAAGTGAGGGCACTGTAACCAGGTTTCTTCCAAGCAAAACATTTTACCGTTTTGTTGACAATGAATTAAGGTGGGATTGTTTAGAACCCCAAGTGTGGTGGGGAAGGCAAGGGGGGAGAAGTTAAGCAAGATAAAGAAATGTCACAGAAATTTCATGCAAGGGTGGAACACTCAAGTTCTAGGTTTCCTAATTCATGCTGTATGCAGAAGTATCCTGTAAACTAAATTTGCCTAACAGAAAAGTTTCTGTATCTTCAACAGATGAGAATGATTGCAGTATTTGGGATCCTTGATCAATATGAACTACTCATTGTCTCTTCTCAAAGACGGGTTCACCTTCTTTTTTACCCAAATCCTACACTAAAAGACAACTACGGTGCTAAACATTCACCACCAGTCAAGTTAGGAATGTTCGAAGAAAATAAATTAAACTTGAAACAAAGATGATGTTTTTGGTCAAATTTCAGACATGTATCATTAGAAATTAATTATTGGCCCCACCAGGTGAAAGATGAAGGGAGGCCAGGAGAAGTCTAGAGAGCTGATATACACACAAGTGAGTGTCACTGTTTTTTGTTTTTTGTTTTTTTAAACCTAGTTTTATTAAATATTGCTTCTTTGGGATGTGTTTATAACAACTCCCAGAACATTTTCATGTAAGGATTCAAAGCGGGCATATTAAAATACAGCTTCAATATAAAGTTTATCACAGTTTTACAGTATTCAAAAATGACAGACCTGCCTTAAAAAACAAAACAAAAACCAAAAAAAGGACTATTACACCCAAAACATAAGAAAACAATTAAATAAACAAGTTTGGCATTTCCATAACTTTATAGTATAAAACAATATTAAATCTATTACTGGCAAGCGGACACCGATGTTTTATCTAGTTTGAAATGTGTCCCGTTTAAACACACTATACAAGTTCACTATACAAAAAAGACTGATGGTCTTTTTGATGAAAGAAGTGCACCCTGAAAATTTTTGCCAGTTTAGAATATTAGCTCTTAAAGTCAAAAAAGTCCTTTTTTAAACTGAAGGCTAAATTCAGATTTTTTTTTTTTTTTTTTTGCTGTTTTGTCTCATTTGTCAGCCTTCCTGGTTTAAAAACAATAGTGTCTATGGACGCCCACCAGGGGGCAGTGTAAGATTAGCCATTAAATCACGAACAGCTGCAAATATTGTGCATTCACCTGCAACAGAGAAAAATGGTCATTAGCTATTCGCAATACAGGAAAGATGCTGTCAACACACTGGTGGGGGTAGGGATAATTAAATCTAAAATCAGCAAGAACTTCAAGGGTCAAAATAAAAGACTAAACTTTAACTGCACAGGTTATTGGGGATTAAGCTTTGGTGTTAAGTATCAAATACTTGGTTCGGGTTTTGTTTGCTTTTCTTCTCATGGGAAAATTCTGGGTAAGTCCCAGTTAGGTTTGAATTTAAGGAGATATGCCTTGAGTTTCTCCACTGAAAACACTGGAGCAGTGAATAAGCCTTTAAAGTTGGGTTTCAAGACTACTGACAGTTTATGTATTTTGAATCTAATGAAAAGATCTAGTTTAGATTTATGCATCCGTTACAACATCAACGATGTCCTTCTAATGTTGCTTTAAAAGCCAGATAAAAATGTCTATGATCGCACTGTCCAATAGAACTTTCTGTGCTGATGGAAATATTCTGTATGTGCACTGTGGCTCCTGAGTACCTGTCATGTAGCTAGTGTGCCTGAAGAACTATACAAAAAAGTTAATTTTAACTAGCTTGAATTTAAATAGCCACAGGAGGTTAGTGACAGTTATACTGGGCAGTGCACTTCTATGACATATATTGGAGTTTTCTCAAATGTAAAGGAAATGATCAACCTCTGGAGTTCAACATGAGTATCAACTAATAAAAAGAGAGTGACTTTTCTTAAAAGCACTTCACTGGGAGGGGAGGAAGTGATGGGTTCAGGGGGTGGGGGGGGGGGCGGTGAAGTATGGCACACCGACAATCCAAAAACAAGACTTGTTTGCAGGTGGGGGCTAATGACTCATCCTTTCAATTTCCCCCTTGCTCAAAGAACCCAGAGACCCTGCCTCGTACTTCTTGTGAACATTACATAGACTTAAATATAATAAACCCAAACAGCTGTAAATAATATAAATCAAAAGCTGGGTCCCTTTCCTGGTATGTGGCCTAACGCTACGGTGGCCGCGAGTGAGAGAACGGGAGACCTCGAGGGAAGAATGGCCTTCTGGCCAAGGGCAGGATGTGCAGTGACCCTGTGCAAGCTTCCCTCCAACCGGTACAGAAAAAAAATGAAACCCCAGGTTTGCCCAGTCTAAGGTAGACATAAAAAAAAAAAAAAGACTAAAAAAAGGAAAGAAAAAGAAAAACACTCCCAAAACATCCCAACAATTTCTCAAATAAAAGGAAAAGTTATATCCTTCTTTTTCCTTTTCAAAAACACATTTTGATTATTGACAGATAGAAAAACGTGTTTGATCCCAAGAGGATCAAAACATTCTTTCCTTAAATTGTAAATTCCACAAGACATAATAATGATAATCATCTACTTGTGAAGGAATGGTCTTATCATCAAAGTTCTACTGGACTGCTACTTTGAAAATTATTTTAGCTTTAAACTTCCGATTCTGAAGGACCTATTTTTAGCTGAAAGAAGAGATAAGTCAAAGGATGAAAGCAGAAAACTGTAAGAAGTGGAAGAAGTCTTACAACAAAAGAAGCGTACCCTTCTCTACTGCCCGGTGCATTCCTTGTAAACTCTATGTGAGTGAAAACTTGCCTATGTTATATACAATATGGAGAAATAAACAGCGAAATATATAATTTCTCCCATGATTCCTGTTTCTAGTAAAATTTTACACTGTGGTACCTAAAAAATGTTTCAGAGAACAACTTTCCCTCATTTAAAAATGTAATTCTGTTATCCTACTACTCTAAGCAGAAAGCTACAGAGGACTTCCTTAATAGTAGAAATAAGCAAATTTAAATTTAAATTTAATTTCCTTAAGATTAGCAACAAGCAAAATGGAAGAAAAGTTCTCTTTGCTGAGCTTTAGGTTTTGTGACGAAACATTCAAAACTGCCAGGAGTTGTGTGTTCCGTGTAGGCTACCACAGTATGGAAGGGACCTGGTTTACCTGCCAGAAACATTCAGGGTTCCTCGAAAATGTTGTTTGAGAGCTTCATTGTGCACTTGGTGAAAAGGTTCACTTGCACCCGCCTGACACTTATATAAGAAGCCCAAAAAGCAGTGATGCCATTTGTATCAGCTTTTATTCTTCACAAAACATTTAGAAGATACAGAACTTTGAATGATAATATTCTATTCATGATTGAACCATGAAATATGAGAAACCGACATGCATTTCAACTGGTGATGTACAGAGTGGCAGGTATCGATGGTAGGGCAGGAATTCACAGCCATGAAAAAGTCTATCATCCTAACCTACGGCTCTGTGGCAATGTGTGCTAGAAATACAAGCTTCTGGCATTAGCAACTGGGTCAGTCCCAATAGTAAATCACTAACAAAAATGAGGTCCAGGCAGCAGAGACATGGACAAAAATGAAGAAACCAGTGAGAAAGGAAGAAAGCGACAGGCAGACATTAACAGGGCCACAGCAATCAGCGCTCTGTTACTAGGATTGGGGGAGGGGGGGAGAGTGGGGTAAGGAGGGAGCAGAGGGAAGGAGGAGGAATCTGTCAAAAGAACTTTTGTAACATATAGGCAATAAAATATTATCTACTGGTCATGTACCTTGTCGTGGCGGGTTCATCTCTGCAAACCTCTTCAGAATGTTGCTGACCATCATGGGAGCAGCAACAGAAGAGTTCTGCTGTCTGGGAATGTCTGCCTGTTGGGTTGTACCTGAAGCCATGTCATAAATGATTGGAACTATAATACTAACAGGTTCTTGGGGAGGGACCGATGTTTTCTGAGTTAGTTGAAGCTGAAGACACACAACACATACAAAGAGAATAAAAACGTAATAAGAAAATAAAACATTTGCCTACATTTATCAAAGGTACTATTATTTACTCCATCAGATTAAGATACCTCGGGCATAAGAAAACTAGAGATGACAAGAAAAGTGACAAAAAATTGAGTATTATGGTTAACGATGCAACCGTGCCACACAATTATCTAATTCAATATATTTGTTATTACTAAAGGAACCGGCAGTACATCACGTCTAAACTGACCATTAAGGAATCTGAGCCTGTGTTTGGCAGTGACGGTTAACTCTGTAGTAATCCAAAAGTTTTTCTATTATCCTTGCATGCTTTTTCCTCAGGGGCTTTGTGCGCGCGCGCACACACACACCACACCACACCACACCACACCACACCACACACATATATATGCTAGGTGCTACTTACTCTGTAGTAATCCAAAGTTGTTCTATTATCCTTGCATGCTTTTTCCTTAGGGGTTTTGTGCACGCATGCGCGCACCCCCCCCCCCACACACACATGCTGGGTGGTACTTACAAAAAATAGCATTTTGGATTTCAGCACCACAGCAGGCGTCCCTGGGGGTGCAATCGGCGGTGCGCTGGGAGGGATCGTCAGGCAAAACTGGACATTCCATTTTAGCTGTGTTGCCTGGTCAGGAAACTGTTCGTGAAATCATGATAAAGTCATATAAACATTTAAAATTACATTTTAGTAGAGGAGTCTCAAAGGTCAGAATCTTATTTTATACAATCCATTATTTTTTTTAAGATTTTATTTATTTGTCAGAGACAGACAAAGAGGGCACAAGCAGGAGGACTGGCAGGCAGAGGGAGAAGCAGGCTCCCTGCTGGGCGGGGAGCCCAAGGTGGGACTCGATCCCAGGACTCTGGGATCATGACGTGAGCCGAAGGCAGCTGCTTAACCAACTGAGCCACCCAGGCATCCCTATACAATCCATTATTAACAGAACATAAAGATGACAGCCTGCATTATCTCAAAGAAAGGGCATACGTGACGTTCCTACATGAAAAATCCACTCCAGACCTATGTGACATGTTCCCCTTTCCTTCCCTCCTGCTCCATTAATTCCCAAGGCCTATGGATTCTGCTTCCCTGCTGTCTCTGACCTCTGTTCCCACCTCTCTATTTTCACGGATGCCACCAAGCTCCAGGATTCAGGACTTCTCTTGTGGCCCCTAACGGTCTCTTCCAGTGGCTGCCTCTCCCAGTTCCTCCATCTACCACTGCCAGGAGAATGTCCTCGAGCACAGTTCTAATCGAGCTCACAAATGTTTAGTGATGTGCAGTGACACATGCTGTTCCCTTCCCTTACCCCGCCAGGACCAAGACCTGGCATTCAAGGCCCTTTAACTTTAAAGCACAGTAACTAGTGCCAACCTAGACTTCCCAGCCTCATTCCCAGCTCCTTCCCTAAAACATACTTGTCAAACTATGTTAATAATTTCAAACTGTATTCACTGGTGTTCTGTTTTGTTTTTTTTAAAGATTTTATTTATTTATTTGACAAAGAGAGCAAGAGAACACAAGCAGGGGGAACAGTAGAGGGAGAGGGAGAAGCAGGCTCCCCACCAAGCAGGGAGTCCGATGCGGGGCTCGATCCCAGGGCCCTGAGATCATGACCCGAGCCAAAGGCAGACGCTTAACCATCAGAGCCACCCAGGGGCCCCTTTTGTTTTGTTTTTAAAAGATGTATTTATTTAGTTTAGAGAAAGAGAGCGCGCACACGAGCAGGGTGAAGGGCAGAGGGAGAGAGAGAATCCCGAAGCAGACTCCCTGTTGAGTGCAGAGCCCAACGCGGGGCTCGATCCCAGGACCCTGAGATGGTCTGACCTGAGCCAAAATCAAGAGCCAGCCATTTAACTGACTGAGCCACCCAGGCGCCGCCCCCAACTGGTGCTTTTTTTTAGCCACATGAATACTTACTCCTTCAAAAACTCAAATGGGTATCTTTTTGCTATAAATACTGTTTCCTATAGGCTACCAGAGCAGAAGCCAAATGTTGAGACTATTAGCAAAGGAACACTGCTGTCCCCGGTATTAGCAGTAAAACACCGACTGGAAAAAGGAATGAGGTATTTGGAATTACCCAAAGCAATACTAGAAACATTTGAACCCAAGTCCCGTAGGCTTGGAAAAGTATAATCAGCCACAACCTGGATTCCATACTGTATGCTTTCACAGGAAAGGGGAGGAATTCACCTCCCCAGGGAGGACAGATTTTTTTTGATAAATGACATTAGGTCAATTGGGGGGCATCTGAAAAAGCTAGATCCACACCTCACATTTGACACCAAGGTATATTTTAAACGGATCAAAAATTTAAATAAATAAGTAATTTAAAAAACGAAGCCATAACAGTATTAAAAGAAGCCATGGGAACATCATTTCAGTATCCAGGAGCAGGAAGAGTGAATTAAATGTATTTGCTTTTATAAGAGGTAAGCCACTGGTAACTCGGGTTGCTTGTGGGGAGGGAGACTAGACACCTGGACAAGGATAGATGGGAAATTTCCCCAATATCACATCTTGATCTCAGGTCAAAAGATACAGGAGGACTGTGTTACCTATTCAAAGATAAATAAAATCTTAAAAAATAAGAAGAGTGTAAGAGAAAAACGGAAGTACATAAATAGGTGAAAACCAATAAATACTGCTCCCACCAACTCCAACCTCTTCAGAGACCTTGCTATATACAGAAGTATGCATTTCACTGTAACTTACCAGCTCTAGCTTCATAATATGCACACAGTCCCTGAGGATGTGTGTAGGAGCTCCTAACAGCTTGGTGAAGGCTATTAAAGTATTGGCTTTAAACGGCGGTCCTGCAACCTACAGGGATGAATAAAGCAAGTTACTCTGCATTCTACTTTGACTCTTCTCTTTTGTTGACTGTACAGGCATACCTTGGCGATGGGAGTTCAGTTCCAGACCACCGCAATAAAGCAAGTATCGCATGAAGTTTTCTGGTTCCCCAGTACATATAAAAGTTATGTTTATTTACACCATACTGTAGTCCAGTAAGTGTGCAATGGTATTATGTCTAAAAAAATGTACCTATCTTAAAAAATACTTTATTGCTAAAAAATGCTAACCACCACCTGAGCTTTCAGTGAGTCACAATCATCGAGCACCATAATAACGAAAAAGTTTGAAATACTGTGGGAAGTACCAAAATGTGACCAAGGAGACATGAAGTGAGAAAATGCTGGTGGGAAAACGGCCCTGACAGACTCGCTCCATGCACGGTTGCCACAAACCTTCAGTTTGTTAAAAAATACAGTATCTGCGAAGCAATAAAACAAGGTATGCCCGTATTAAGACTATGCATTAAGAAACACATACTCTTGTTTCAAAGAATTTCTCCAAAACTTGAAGTTCATCGGGTTTCCACTGTCCTGCATTTTCAGGTGTCACTTTTAGCTGAAGTGTTTGGTTGGTTTTGGGACTAAGGGCTACTCTGCATTTCAGGGCATCAGTTTTAAACATGATCACTCCAGGTTCGTTGGAATTTATCAGCTGCAGCTGCAAAACATGAAGGATGCATCAAGTTAGTACGTAAGACAAAGAGGAAATGAAAACGTTGCTCAGAGAACTGTTTCAGAGGGAAAACAACTAAAAGGTGATACCCGTTCCCAAACAAAAATATCTAGGCACTGAGCACCATGGACTGCTAACATCCCAAAGAAGGAACTATACATTATGTGCCTCTCAATGGAAGAACAGAACACAACCTATGGAATATTCTCGTAAAATAACAACAGACTTGAGCTGGAATTCGGTAGTTACATCTGCAGGGTGGACCAATATTATAGAAATGTGAGGGTCACAAGAACATGTTAAATAATTCCAAAGGGACGCAATCAGCAAAATCCAGACTGTGAGAAACTCGACAAGACAACGGATATAGTTGCTTCAATAATAAAAGGGACTTAAAGACTTGTCTGGGTTCTGCTTTAGACTGTAAAAACCGTGACAACATGGGAAATCTGGACACCAACTAGCTATCTGATGATAAAGAAATTGTCTTCATGGATGAAACGATGTCTGGGATTTGCTGTCAAACCACCTGGGGAAGGAGCTATAGAATAAACATGATTGACAGGGGTTCACTGTTGGAAGGTAGGTGATGAGAACACAGAAGTTCATTATACTCTCTTATACTGTTATACTCTCAACTTTTATATATGATTAAAAATTTTCCACAAGAAGTTTTTAAAAAAATGGCACAGTAGAAGAAAAGAATAAAGAGTACCATTACAAAATGTTGGATCTGGATTGGGACCTTACACTGGCCCAGGGGTTGGTAAATTTTTCTGTAAAGTAATGGAGAATAAATATTTTAGGCTACATGGTCTCTGTTGCAACTACTCAATGATGCCATTGTAGTTGAAAGCTGTCGACAATCCATAAATTAATGGGTGTGACTATGTTCCAGTAAAACTTTATTTACAAACAGGTGGTGCGTAGGACTTGCCTTCCCCACCCCCACTACAGGGCCAGTAGTTATTGACCCCTGCTCTATCGTAACATACTGATTATGCAGAGGAGCAAAATGAGGTTCAAAGAGCTGAAAGCTTACGTGGCTTGTAAGTGGCAGAGGGAGGGTAGATCACAGGTCTCATAATAATCATTTTATAAAATGCTAATTTATTCAACTTATGTTAAAACCTCTATTATTTTCAAATCTGAATATAAAGGTTGCAAAATAGCTTGGTGCCATCCGTGGAGTAGATATTTCAAACATTCACCATTCTACCTCATTAACACATACATATATCAAGAGTTATAAATAACTAACAGATACTGAATAATACCAAGACATTATGCTAAGGGCCTTCTATGAAGTATCTCGAATTCCCACAATTGTTATGAGTTAGGTAAATACTATTATCTACCATTATCAAAAAGGTAAAGGGATTTGCCTAAGCTTGTACTAGCTGGTGGCATGGCCTGGGTACAAACCCAGAGAGTCAGACTCTGGAGCTGGGGCTATCAACTCTGAACTATCTCCTGAGGGTATCACTACAGGACACGTCTTTTTCTGACTTTTTCTAAATCAGTTCAGTTGTTCATGAATTTAAAAAGGAGTTTTCAACCTTGTGATCAAAATAATTTTATTTCAATGGAGAATCCAGTTCAAAGTCAGCCTGCCTGCAAGGGGATTCCAGAAGGCCCATAGTTGCTTGTATGCTACTCTCTGCAAAGGCAGATCCTGGGAGCATTTGTCCCATGGCACTGTGGGGACCCTGTGGGACCTATCTCTGGGCCCATTAGCACAGCAAACTATAAAACGCAGGAACATGTTAACCTAAGAATGGAAAAGAAAACAGTGGAGTCCGTTTTTAATGCTAGAGCAGGGTGGAAAGCACAGTTCCAGCGAGCTGGTTAAAGGAAGTGAGGGAACATCATTTTAGTTCAGATGCTGTTCTGTGGGGCAACTTATCAGCACCTGCCTTCAACAACTACCACTGAGGAGTTCACTAGGTACCCATACCGTTTCTTGTTGAATAATTCTTTGAAGGTGCCGTCTCATGATGACCGATCCAAGGAATCTCTCAAGCGGAGAACAAAGATAACTACCTGCCAGGCCAGGCACAAGGCCTGGTGTTGGAGAGGGCAGCAGTAAAATGTTCAAGGCACTGTGAGTGAGGATGGTAGGTATGGAGGCTGCCCAGGAGCGCTGAGGTAGTTTACGAGGTGGAGGCATGTTTGTTGGCAAAGTTTGGGAACCTTTTGGGAAGGAAAACATGTCATTTCAGTCACAAATGAATACGGTCCCACTGTTCTGTTTTGCTTTTATTATAAATCTTTGATATTCTAAAGCAATCCATACTGTTTTCATTACTCCTTGTGGCTTAACAATCATATGTTAGCTTCCTTTTAGCAAAATGGCCAGGGTTCTTCTTCTCCCTGTAGCTAGGTTCCTTACAAAGTGACTTCGTAGCAAGCCCTTAGAGGGATGAGTCTACTTCTCTTCCTGGGATCTGGGCTGGCCCTGTGACTTAAAGAATGCAGTGGAAGGGACGTGGTACCGGCTGCAAACTTAGGATTTCACTCACGTTCTTGAAACCCCATCCAGCCACCAGGTGATCAAGCCTGTGATCAAGTCTGAGACCACATGGAGCAGAAGAAGCCACACCGGCTGCGGCCATTTTAGACCAGCCAGGCCCCAGCCCACACAGGAGCTGACCACAGACACATGAGTGAGCAAAGCAGAGTCTAGAAAAATCACCCAGCTTGGCTTAGCCCAAATCGCCATCCTATAGAATGGTGAGCTAATAATAAGATTGCTGTTCTAAGTCATTAAACGTTACCTGGCAAAGCTAACTAACATATGTGCACAATTCTGTTCTGTGTTAATTTGTACAACCTTGTCAGTTAACTTTAGGTGTCCCTCAAGGTCTAGTTTTGCAGCTAAGTTAGTAGACATAACAAAGGTACTGGGGCTCACCTCACTAGACTTCTGGAGGAGACATTTCCCTTTCTTATATTTTGCTTTAACTGTGCAAATTAACTGTCGTTAACCAATTTACTAAATGGATTAAAGTTTAAGTTATTAAGTATCCCCATTTAACAAGTAGGTCACAACGTCAAATGTGAGGATGGAAAAAAAATAGGTCATCTGGAGGTTAGACTAAAACCAACACAAAAATGGTGATGACGCTCACTTGTTCCAGCTCGAGGGGAATGAGAAGCATCTGGAACTGGAGAATGTAGTGATGGATTGGCTGGTGACATTCCAGGCATGCGTGTTGCTGGTGAGGGGCCGGACACTTGAGGAGACCCTGGCCAGTTCCCGGCTCGTCCACTTGGTGACACCATAGTGTATGGAGAACTAGGGTCCAGGGTTCCTGTAAACAAGTGAACAGATGGTTTTCAAAACCTGTATTTTAATAACTGAAAGGTACTTGACGGTGCTGAAATGCTTGACACTTTACAAGGTGCTCATTTTATTTTTCTTTTCGCTATTTCACTGAAGTATGATGCTTCTTCATATGGCACATCTGAAGGTCTATTCTGTATAGTGTATGTACTTTTTAATGTGATACAAAATTAGAAAAATACAGAATGAGAAAGGATAAAATTTACCTTCACACAAGCTTCAACATATGCAATGTGTAACAATCTACTTTACACTATGCAACCACCTACTATTTTCAAAACCCATTTGCAAACGTCTTTAAAAATGTTAAGCAAAAAAATCTCAAAGCTCACTTCAGGGCAGAAATCTTATATTTTTCAAGTAACCCTGACAAATTATGTTTTTCATTCTATTCAAGGCTGAGGAGAGGGAAATTTTCCCTCTTCTTTCTTTAGTAAATGCTACAATGACTGAGAAATGAGCCAAGAATCAAGTTTTGACAGCAGCAACTTCCAGGGGCGCCTGGGGGGCTCAGTCGTCAAATTGTCTGCCTTCAGCTGAAGTCGTGATCCCAGGGTCCTGGGATCGAGCCCCGCGTTGGGCTCCCTGCTCTGCGGGAAGCCTGCTTCTCCCTCTCCCACTCCCCCTGCTTGTGTTCCTTCTCTCACTGTGTCTCTGTCAAACAAATAAATAAAATCTTAAAAAAAAAAAAAAAAAAAGCAACTTCCTGAACAATTTGATATTTAAAGGTCATTCTGCAGTTACTTTTAATGTATTATTTATACCCCTCTGTAACCAAAGGATACTGAGAAAATACTTTTACTATATATCAGAGAGTAAATGATCCTAACTTAGAAGTCTTATAAATTGGTAAGAAAAAACACAAGAACATATAGGCAGGCATAAAATAAGAAATACCAAAGACCGATGAGAGAAAAAAGGTTTAACTTCATTAATAATCAAAGAAATGCACATTCAACAAAAAGATACCATTTTTCACCTATCAAAATGACCAAGATTTCTAAAAGTCGTAATACCCTGCGTTGGCAATGATGCAGGAAAATAGGCATTCTTGTTTGAAGCTAGAGGAAATTGGTACAGCCTTTCAGGTGAGCAATTTGCAGTATGTTTCGAAAGCTTTAGAATTTCTCAAACCCTTTGAGACAGCAATTCCATGTCTAGGAACTTACCTAAAGGAATAATCATGTGAGCAGAGATGATACCATTTTCAGTTGTTAAAACAAAAAAAATGGAAACATTCTAAACATATAATAGGAGGGCAGTTAAATTATGTTATGTCAAGACAAGGGAATACTATGAAGCCATTTAGTATAACGATGTAGAGTTTTTACTGATAGAAATGTCCCTACAAATATTAATAGTAGACAAAACCACAGACGCTACACAGCTGTAAAAACTGAGGAAGTCCTTTATGTTGTGATTTGGCACGGCATTCAGGAAAAATAGATGAAAAAAGTAAGGCACTGAAGTATGTGTAAAAGGGGTGAGAACACTTACAGGCATCTGCTTGTGTATGCAGACAACATCTCTGCAAGGACACATAAGAAATTAACAAGACTGAATGCCTCTGGGAAGAGGAATTGGGTGGTTGGTGGCTTCGAAACACTCCCCTGGCTACTTCTTTTATTCTTTAGTTGAACCAATTCAAAATAAAATTTTTGAGTTAAAAAATTCAAGTCTCAAAACTACATATGGTATAGTCCCAATTGTGGGGGGAGGTGTTTGAGAGGAGAGACAAGCAGACAGGTGGAGAGCAACAGAGAGGCGAGCAGGCAGGTGAGCAGGGGGTGCGTGACGGCAAGAGCAAGGCAGAAGCGAGGGGAGGGGGAGAGAGTCCAAAGCAGACGGACTAACTGGTAGATCTCTGCGTGGTGGGATGAGGACAAATTCATTTTCTTTGGCGATTTCCCCAATGAACAAAGTGCTAATTTTGCAATACGAAAAGAATTTATTTACCAAAAAACTACTTCCACATCAAATTCTTATGCTATCGCGGTTTCCACGTATGGACTCACCATGTGGACTAGCAAAACTGGCCCCTGGTCCTATTGAGATTCCATGCGAGGATGGGGGAGGAGTTGGAACAAATGACGCTGGTGAAGGGGCCCTCAGAGCCCCACTGGGGGAGCTGGCAGCATGCAGATTTCCTAATAAAGGAAAATAATTACAGATGATCTTGCAGGACACATAGCATGTCCTGGCCAAGGACCTCAAGTTAAGACTCTCTCTATGGATTAAAGAAATAAGTAGTAAAGCTCCCTTAAATAGCACAGAGAAAATCTGAAATGATTTTGTTACTGAAAAAGAGAGAGAGATCAATTCCATGGGGCCCAAATTCTAGCTCTTATATTGACCTGAGTTTAAAAAAAAAAAAAAAAAAAATCCAGTGTACTTTTGTGTTCGCTCATTCACTCTTTCAGCAAGTGGGCATGAATGTTAATTTCATGCCAAGCATTGCTGTAGGCACTGGGGATGCAGCAGTTGACAGACAAAAATTCCTGCCCTTGTGGAGTTTCTATTCTAGTAGAATGAGAAAGACAACAAATGTATGTCAGGTAGTGATAAGTGGTATGGAGAAAACCAGGGCAAGGAAAGGGGGCAATATCATGTAATGGCAGAGGTGGGTGCTGTTCTTTCTATAAAGCAACCCCAGAAGACCGCTCTAAGAAGGGGGCATGTGGGTAAGTGAAGGGTAAGGCGTGAAGATACCCAGGGGGTAAGAGATTCCAGGCCAAAAGAAGAGCTAATGCAAAGGCCCCAAAGGCAGCAGCAAAAACAACAGGGAGGGGGCCAGTGTGGCTGGATCAGTGGGAGCCACGGGGAAGTGGGAGGAGATGAGGACAGAGAGGTGGTGGTGGGGGTCCCAGATCACACGGGGACTCGTAGGCCACTCTAAGGACTTAGGGTTTGCCCTGAATGAGATGGGAAACCACTGCCAAGTTTGGAGTGAAGGAGTCATAAACTAGCTTCTGTTCTGAAAGGATCACCCTAACCATTGTGTAAAAAACAGACTATAGGGCAAGGGCAGGGAAACCAGTTAGAGGCAACAGTAATAATCCAAGTGAGAGATGGTTAATGGCTTGGGTGAGGGTGGAGGCTGAGGAGGGTTAGAGTCTGGATAAATTCTCAGTACAGAGGGAACAGTATCTGGGACTGACTGAAGTGGGTGTGAGAGAAAGGAGTCCAGCATGACTCCAACAGCTCTGGCCAAGCGGCAGGCAGGAAGGGGCTGCCGTTTCCGGAGTTTGGGGGGCAGGGGGCGGGGGTGGGCGGGCAGGTGTTAGGAGTTGAGGCTCAGCCATTGTCTACCCATCTAACAAGGGCATGCTGACCAGACAGCTGGAAAACACAGGACTTGAGTTCAGGGGAGAGGTCTAGATGGCAGATATTAAAAAACTGAGAGCAGTGAGCTTAAAGATGGGATTTAGCCACAGGACTAGTTTCAATTGAGGATCAGGAAAGAGGGAACCATGCTCCCAAAACTATGAATAAATGCGACACAGAGACACTTGCTACATTACCATTATTATCCTCAGTTTTCACATGTTTCAATTTCTCTACTACTAAGAGAATTTCATATTTTCTACATTCTATACCTAATGCAGTGCCTTACGTGCAGTATGTTCATCAACTCGATTAACCTTTAAGTGTCATGTTTAGATATTCAGCTGTGGGTTTGCTGTGGGGATTAAATGGATAAAGTGCTCAGAACACGGCTTGGCACACAGCAAGCACTATATACCTGTCTGCTACTATAATCATTTCAAAATAATTATTTCTACTTCCTTCTACATAAAACCTCACTCATATCCTAGAAACACATGCCCCTTGCGTTCTCTGCCCATATCTCCCGTTTTGCTCCTTGCTCCCTAAGCAGCTCCTTCTCAGGTTCCTACACCGGGAAGCAGCTGCCGGTACTCCGCAAGGGCAGAGCTCACCCACCCAGCTCAGCCTTCAATGACCTTCAGTGATATGACAATGACTTCCAAATCTTCATCTGTGGTTCCACCATCTCTGCTGAGCAGGTAAGGGGTCATCTACCCAAGAAATCTGATACCCGTCTTCCTTGCTAGACGATATGCTAGAGGGCAGGACTGGTATGTGGCTTGCTGCTGTATCCCCAGCACCATGGAGCATCTGGCCCAGGGCAAGAACTCAAGCGATACCAGCAAATTGTTCAGTTCAAAGTAAAAATTAGGTATCCTCAAGCAATTTTATAGTGCACTCCATGGGGCTGCCAACAGAGTCATTTTGTTTGGATAAGCAGGCTCTGCACTGGCCCACTCTGCGGGGCACAGCACCTTTCATATATACCAGGGCTTAGCAAACTTGTTCTGTAAGGGGTCGTCCTAGCAGGAGAGCAGCCCCTGACACTGCATGAACGGGTGTGGCTGGGTTCCCCCAAAACTACAAAAACAGGTGATGGGCAGGATCGTGTTGTGATCAGCTCTCCTTGGAGCTGTGCCACGAGCCTGGCTCTGGGTGACAAAACCTCCACTTAATTCAAACCTTTCAACATGTTCCCGAGTCACGAACGCACCTTTCACAACCCTGCCATAAGGAACGAATGGCAGATACCTAGCCACAGATAAGGGAGTGGTCTCTGAAGGTCTAGGCTACATGTGTGGTGCTTGGGTGTGTCCGTGTATGTTCTGGATGTCAGAGTTGAACACAACAAAAGAGTAAGTAATATCTTACCTGGAGACTGTGTGTGCATCATAGAGGGAGACTGATTAACTGTGCTGTGGTAAGACGTAGGGGGTGAAGTAAGGGGATAAGCACCTGACGATCCCGGCTGTTTGGGAAATGGCTGAAAAGAAAAAAAGTACATGTTGGTCAAACGGGCCATGTGCGTATAGTATATAGTACATACGGCTGAAGAGTTAACCTTTACACAGTTCACTGGTTACCAAGAGGAAACACAAGATGTGAAAATGTGCAAAATACACATCAGTAACACAAGTTCTTAAAAACTCCCCGACTTTCAAAATGTTTAAAAAACAGCAAGAACTCACTCCTGACCTTGTAATACCATTGCTTTTATCCCTCAAGATGTTTTTTGCTTATTTTATCTACCATATCACTGATTTATCTGTATCGTTTCTCTCCCATTTCCCGGATTCTAAGAGTCTCTCCCCACCCCTTTAGTATTTCTGAAGTCAGGTGTATCTTTTGATTCCTGGTATGGCACAGTTTAACTGGCAATGCATAAAAAGTAGTGCATCTTACACTTGGTGGAGTTTTTAAAGGCAATGAAATACGGTTGTTTAACCTGACCTCTCTTCACCTTTACCTTCATCTCCAGCAATGAAAAACCTAGGACAATGAAATCCTTCCTAGTTTTTCATTTGAGGTACAAATCACATACAGTATAAGGACACAAATCTTAGAAAATGTCCAGTCTGATGAATTTTCACAAATGTCACCGCCACAGAGATCGAGACCCTGAAGAACACCACCAGTGCCCCATAGGCCTCCCTCAGCCACCTTCCAAGGCTTTATCACTTCCCCAAAGGTAAGCACTATTCTGACCTCTGTCACTCAAGCTTGATTTTGCCAGTTTTCACATTTCATATAAATACTGAATGTACTTCTGAGTGTCTGGCTTTTGTTCAACATTACGTCAGCGAGATTCACCATGTAGTAGTTTGTTTTTTCATTTCTATAAAGTATTCTATTGTATACTGAATAGACCCAGTTTATTCACTCATTCTGTTGCTTGATACTTGGGTTAGTTTACACTTTTTACATAAATAACGTTCCTGTGAACATTCTTGTGTTTTTTGGATGCATTTCTGTTGTACATATACCTAAGAGTAGAATTATTAAATCACAGTTATGCCTAATGTTCAGATTTAGTGCTCTGGAATACTGCTAAACACCACTGCACGGTTGTTATACCATTTTATGCACCCTCCAGTAGTAAATGAGTTTCAGTTGCTGCTAATACCAAATGTTGCCAAGAATGATCAATTTTCTTCTTAAAGCCGTTTTTGTGAGTTTTGAGTATTATCTCACTGTGGTTTTAAGTTGTATTTCTGTGATGTCAAATGACGTTGAACACCCTTTCTGTGCTTAACAGCCGTTTGGATATCATACTCTTTCATGATCGCATGGCTAATCACCTCACATCATTTTAAATGCACGAGTCTGAGGTTAATGTTACTTCTGGTACTGTTCACTTGCCATCACTAGAAGCCGCCTTCTCTCCCTCTGTCACTATTTTTTCATATGGACTTCTCGGGACACCTTGGGCCCACCAAGGACCTCCTTGCCTTTCAATAAAGACGCTCAGACACCTGAAGAACCCATTAAGTGACGCGAATGCGATACCATTTGGAATTTCAGCTAGACATCACCTGTTGCTGGGGTGGTGGCTGGAGCTGTGAGATTAAAGAATCCATCATATCTCCTCCTATGGGAGAAGGGGGATTATCGTCCTCGTTTACAGACCTTCTCCGAGCATCCTGATTGCTGTCAACAAACATATTCAGGAATGTCTATGGATATAAACAGGTAGAATTCAGATTATTTTACTTAACTTTACTAAGATATTTTTAATCATTTAGACTATTTTAAGAGAAACAAATATACTACACCCATCTCTAAAATAGAAGTTTGGTATACACTATTATGAGGACAACCTGGAAGATATATTGATAATTTTGAAGGGGGGAAACTGAGGAAACTGGTTAACTGCAACAACAGAAACAAAATCTAAGTTAAAAATCCTGTCCATTAAGAAGTATTGTGCAAGTACAAAGTTGAAGAGAGAAGTACACCCTGGTAACTCCTCACACCAGGTCAAAGTATTTCCTTACTAACTTCTGAACCAGAAATGCAGGAAACAAAAGAAAAGTTGTATGTTGGCCATCTAAGTAATTCCAGTGACTTGGGAAATTTCCTATTGGGTGAGAGTCGTCATTTTGTAAGCTAGAAAATACGACAGAGGAAAACTGAATGCAGAAACTAAGCCATCTTTCCTCTTTTTATCTTACGTGACTGAAATCTTGAACCACCAAGAGTGGGACAATCTCATTTTATGGGATAAGTCATCAAAAGTTAAGCAAGGCTACCAGAGTTTGTGTCTCAAGCATTCTCTTCCTTTTAATACTCCCCACCTTCCCCATCCTCAAAAACATAGATCAAAAGCTTACCAGGATCGCTAGAAAGCTTTTAAAAGCACATTGCCTGATTTCTAATAAAAGATGATGGATTCACAACACACATTTTATCTTTCCCCAATACCCCACTGAAACTCCTAAAAAAATTTTCTTAAAGCAATAAGTTACAAATACAGAAAGAATGGGAGAAGAAAAAAATAGCAATGAATTCTGGAGGCTGCGGAGCAGATGGCTGAGTGGTAAGTGAACTATCCAATGTGAGGAAGTTGTATCCTAAAGCTAGCACTGGGGAAAGCCAAGAAGCAAAGCTATTTCCGTCCAGATCCTCAAGACATGTAGGAACTGGCAGCACTAGACACCTCTGGAAGTGGGGATGAAAGTGGGATTAAAAATAGGACTGGTCGAAAGTCTCTTTAAGAGACACTGAAAGCCTCCCAGAGCCTCTGTCACTCTCACTGAGTGAGGTTGACTTCTACCACTCTGGTGGAGGGTCTTTGACTAGGGGGACTCTAGCATCGATCGAGAGGAATGCCATATTAAAAATGAAGATTATGGGGCACCTGGCTGGTTCAGTCAGAAGAGCATGCGACTCTTGATCTCGGGGTTGTGAGCTCGAGCCCCACGTTGGGTGTAGAGATTACTTTAAAAAAAAAAAAAAAAGAAGAAGAAGAAGATTAAAGTTTACATACTGAATGCTGAAAATAGTAGTTTCCTTCTCTTATTTGATTTGCCAAAAATTGGGGGCCAGATGCACACCATCTATGCAGAGACTTGAATACTCCTCTCTTGGTACTCATACCAGCCCAACAGAAAGACCTAAATCTACTGACACTGGGAGTTACCCTAAGAAATGGCCCAAGCAGATCACCCTGCAATGAAGACCACAGTCAGTAAGTCCCACCTTCTAGTAAGAGCTGAGAGTTAAAAATCACTAACATGAAAGAGATCAAAACCAAAAAAAGCAAGGTGCATGAAATGGAGATTATGTAGGAAGAAAAGGGGTAAGAGAAGATAAGATAGCCATATACAACAAAGATGTCATAAAATGAACACTTAGAAACAAAAGAGAGCTCCTGGAAATTTTTTTAAAGATGGCAAAAAAATTATCAAAAATACAAAGACTGAAAGGAAAAAAATGAGGAAATCTCCCAGAAACAAAGAGATAAAAACAGAAAAGATAAGAAAATCAGAGGATTAAGTCCAGGATACCAAGCCTCAGAATAGTAGTGGTAACCAGAAAGAGCTAACAGAGAAAACAAAGAAGAATCAAGAAATAATACAAGGAAATTCCCAGAGCCAAAGGATGTAAGTTTCCAGCGTGAAAGAACCTACTTAGTTACATAAGGTTCAAGAACTAGAACGAGACTGAACAACTCAACAGTCACAATAGACGTTAGAAGACAATGGAGCAATGTCTTCAAAATTCTTACAGAAAATGACTGTAATCTTGAATTCTACACCTAGCCATTCTCTCAATTAGATGAGGGTAAACTAAAGATGTTTTTAGGCGCACAAAGTCTCAAAATAATCTCCCACATACCTTCTCCCAGGAAACTACGTAGAGGTATTCTACCAAAACAATGGAGTAAACCAAGAAAAAGACCTGCAGTCCACGCCACAGGGCATGCCACACGAGAGGGAAGCCAAGGACTCTCCCTCTTCCCCATCCTTCTACAGATTCCTAAATCAACACTGTGTAAAGGGCATGGGGCACTGCCATTCCAGATTGGAGGTCAGATGGTTGTAGAAGAGATTTCTTCAAGATGAAACCAATGAGGTTTCTGATATGTGAACGCACAGAGGGGAGAGTTTATATACAGGGGAGAGAGAGACTTTAAGGTTGAGTTAGTGGTTAAGTATACAAAAAGGTAAGCAAAAAAAGTAAATTAATAACTCCCAGAAAAATAAAATGTTGAACAAGAAAGGAAAAGTAATTACAGTAAGCTTGGTGTATAGTGTTTACATATTTATAATATTGAGAATACCGAAAAATCATCTGATCAAAATTGCTGCCTAACCATACTGCAAGGATAGAAGGAAAGAAAAAAGGTATACTGGGAGCAGCCTGGGAGGATGAAGAGGCATACAGGAATTAAAACAGAATTCAACCCTCATCTTCCATTGTGAGGATCAGATAATGCCCTCAACTAAGAAGTCCATAAACAGCAATGTAAGCATGTTATTTAGAGATAAGGATGTAAATACCAAGAGAATCACCACTTAAGAGTTGAAAACAGAGCAGGAAAAGGGCAAGACTGGGTTGCAAGCAACTAATTTTCAAAACAAGCCTTTGGAACTATTTGACTCTAAACTATAAGCACATACAGTTGAGCTATTATACAAGAATCTGCAGGGATTGTGGCCCAGGACCCTACATTTTAAAAAAACTTCATGGTTGAACTGATGAATCAAAGTTTCTCAATAATCGATGAGAAAGACATTGTTGAAGTTCCTTAAAGTTCCAACTAGCAAACAGGACTCTCTTTGGTATCATTCACCATATGCATTACAAGGAAAGGAGATTTTATCATCTCATACATGTAGGCACAGTGCTTTGTAAGAAATTCCTTTTCCTTTGGAAGGACGCTGCAGAGGTGATAAACTAACACAGCTGCTTATTAAACAGGAATTTGTTGCTTTTCCCCATTACTTCCCCCTTTTAAAGGAATTGTTTTAGAGACATTTATGTTTATTTATGCTAGAATACTAAAGTCGGTTACCTTTAGTCCAGGTGCAGGATAAAAACCTTCCACTAACTTGCTATTATCAAAAAGACTATAGGCACCATCCCGGATCGCCACCACGCCTCGGCTCCGGCAGTAAATGTCGATGCAGTACATGTTCCGAAAGGCCAGTCTGATGTGGGTGGACGACTGTGGCAGGATGGAGAAGCACTGGTAAGCAGTGTTGGTTCTCTGGGTCAAGCCCAACATCGGCACAGTGGGGAGTTTGTTGATGGCATTTAACGGAGCCTGAGTATCAAAGAGTACCTAAAAGGAACACACACAGTGAGAGCCAGCCAGTTTCCGTACAAATGCTGAAGTCTCAGAATCTTCCATGTCTAACAGTCATAAATGAGCCAAGGTCTTCCTGGCATATTCCATGTACCTTTCCCTTGAAGAGAATGCAAACTACATCACTGCATCCACTTTGAATCAAAAAAATTCTCCAAGAAGAGTGCGAGACATAAGACAAAACATGCACCCTTGTCACTGAAGACAAGTTAAGCCCACATGATTTTTAGTTTTACATGAGCCACTAACACTGACGGAGTCTTATTTTTACACAGAAAATAAACTTAATTACCTGTAATAACTGAACCACATTTGGTGTTTTGTTGAACATTTCCTGAAGCTGATGGAGAATGGTATTGTGACAGTTACTGCAACCTGAGTTTGGGCCAACAGTGCCCAAAGAAATGTGAAATTTTTGATGTATGGAATTCCACTGGATGCTAATCTAAATCAAAGAGATTACATGTTTCAGAAACTGAGAAAGTAAGATTCAAGTAGAAGAAAAAACAATGTTTAACCAGTAAGGCAAAATGCCAAAGATCAACATGAGGTCTTTTTGGAAAGCCAATCAGAAGACTGGACTCTTTAAAACTCCAGAAGTGCCGTTCCTATGGACCGGTACATTTGCGAAGTAGGTGTGTATTAGTCCACTTCCACCAAATAAAACAGAAAGAGAAGGTGCTAAAGAAAAAATCTGGATTAAACTTTATTTGAAAATGATCATTGGTGTTTCTTATTTTTCATTTTTATCTAGGACTGAAGAAAAGTCACCCTCTACATGAGCACTGTCATAAAGGGAAAGGAAGCCACTTCTAACACAGATGCTTTCAGTTTATAGATTTTAAACACTCAATTTCTGATATTACTTGACGTGGAAGAGTCCAGAAAGAAGCCAGCTCGCTGAATTTTTATACTAAATTTCTAGGACTTTACATATGGAGTGGGAAGAAAATGAGGAAACAGAGATTACGGGGAATGCCTTCAAGACTGGGACAGGATCAAACAACATTAATAATCACATGACCAAAAGCATAAACGTACAGTATTGTTCAAAACCATTCATAATCTTCATTATAGTAATCATGTTGCTAACCAGATTTTAAATCTGTAAAGAAAAAAAATACAAACACCAAAAGTACATTACCTGGTCCAAAACTCATCAAGATTATATATCCCATCAAAGAGGGCATAATTTTCGCTTTCAATTTTAAAGAGTTAAGCATTCTAGTATACTAGTCTACTATATATCATCAAAGTATTTAAAATTTACCATTTTAACCCTAATTTTTACTTGAGTCCTCAATTAGTTCAAGGCAGTTTGCATAACTTCTGAATTCTTCATTTTTAAAGGATTTATGAGAGGAATTTCAGTTTTAATTAGTTCATAGACTTACTGAGCTTCCCTTGGTGGTTCCATAACACAAAATAAGTTTTCGGTAATTATAAACACGGACTTCTGAGAAAATATTTAGATGAGCAGGTATGTCTAAAGAGAAAGGAAGCAAAAAGGAGATGAAGATGATACATGCAAAACTTTAAAACACATATTTGGAGAAGAGGGCATCTGGGCAGTATCACATGCCTAGCTGGAAAGATCTCTAGATACATCATTTTGTTAAAACAATTAAAAATAAAAAAAGGAAAGCGATGGCATAGACAGTGGGCTTCCATGCCCATTTCTACAGAAGGGGTCCAGGGCACAGGCAGAGCACTGAAGTGGTACAGCACAGCAGTGGGGCGGTTCCAATTCCAGCTCTACCCTTTACTAGCTGTGCGACCTTCAGCAAGTTCCGCAGTCTCTGCGACTTGTTTTCTTCACTTGTGAAATGAGGAATAACTCAACTAGTTCACAGGGTGACTGTGAGGATTAAATGGGTTAACAAGAGCGAACTGTTACACTGTATGGTGCATAGTAGACTCTCAATAAATACTCCCTGTTACTATAATATGGTAGAGCTCGGGAGTAAAAAATTTCCGGATACATAAGAAACTTAACAGTGGTTGTCTCTGGGCAAAAGTCTGAGGTAGAAGGGAAACTTATTTTTCATTAGATATTCTTTTGAAAAAAAAATTTTTTTACGATGTTTTACTTTTTCAGTTAAGAAAAGGGGGGGTACCCCCCAAAAGGAAGATTATCACATGTACCTGGTAGAGAACGTGCAAATTCCAACACACACTCATATAATCGTGCAATGCTATTCCAGTCATTAAGGAACATTTCAACCACTTTTCTACCACCAACAGGTTCAGACAACAGGTTTTCATATGTCAGATAAACATGCCGCGATGGCCCTACAGGATTAAAAAAGAGGATTAATAGCTATCAATACTAAAAAGAAAACCCCCAAAACACGCAAAGACAAAATGTGTGAAGCAGCTCACCTTGCTCCCTAGTAGAAGTGCCATTAAGTGGACAATTCGCAAACACTAACTCCGCCACCCACGTGCGGTTATTTCTACCTTGCAATCGGAAAGTGCAATCGAGAAGAGAGCGGTCCAGAGCCTTCTGGGTTTCCTCATTCACACCCTTACAGGGAGGAATTCTGGCAATGAAAGACAGAGCATATGAAGTGTACTTTGCATCACAGAAAGACAAGAGTCCAATCTACACAACAACGTTCGGGGTATCACGTTAGTGCTTCAGTTCAAGCTCCACTACTAGGTGCTTTCTGCAAAAGAAGCGATTCATAGCAATTCATGGCAATTCACAGCACTGAACCCACTTCTACTCACATCAACACAGATTAGGACCTCTTGCTTTAACGAAGTGTTCTAGTGTTTTAACGAAGTGTGTCTGTCTTCATCCTTATTCCTATCATTAGAAACACTATGATTCTTCAGAGTGAAAATCAAAGATACTGGCTTTCTATGAAATCTACCTAGAACATCCTCAAGGAAAAGCTAAGGTGTAAAACCACCCCTGAGAACAGAATGATACAGTGGAAAGAACACAGGCTTTGGATCAGGGACCTGCATTCTAATTCTGACCCAGCCACATTAACCTCTCTGAATTTCAGTTTCCCAACTACACAATGGAGATAATTACCTTATGGGTCACTGATTTTGAAACATGGCACACCGTACGTAAAGTGTTCATGGCAGCTGATATAATACGTATTCGTGTATGTTAGTTCCCTTTGTGGTAAAACCAAGTCTCACTGATGCCAAGATAAAATGCCAGATTTGTTATCTCTCTCTCCCTCTCCAGTAGAGGTAACACTCATGTGATAAAGCTTTGCATGTATTAACTCATTTAACATATTTTCACTTAAATATGTCACATATAGGAGAGGAATGTATTAGCTTTGGTGTCGGAAAGTACCTACCTATCCATTTTCCTCTTGCACCTTTATGGACTGTCTTGTCATAAAACATTATGAAGTAGTATATTTTCACTGTTTTTTTCAGTAACAGATGAAATAATGAGACAATATTATTTTTTAATTACACATTGTCCTTTAACTCCTAGGGATGGTGGGTTAATTCTCAGACTTGGTATAATGATTATCTACATCTAAGTCTACAAAAATTGGAAATATGGAATCTTGATTCAGGCCTCTTATTCAGAAACACCTAGAATAGGGTTTCTCAACATCAGCAATACTGACATTTGAGGCTGGGTAATTCTTTGTTGTGTAGCCTTGGCCTCTCCTTACCAGATGCCAGCAGTATCTCCCACCCCCTCTTCTCAGTTAATGATCACCAAAAAAACCTCCAAACATTGCCCAATGTCCCCCTGGAGGGCAAAATCGCCCTGGGGTTAAGAACCACTTGCCTAGAATAAACAATTTAAGAGGGCAAAAGAGAGAGAGAGATTGCAGATGATAAAAAAAAATTTGTAGGGGAGAAAACAGCTACATAGGTTGCATAAAAAGAAAATCAACATAGTACTAAAATTTTGTCAATTAATTAAAAATTCCACCACAGCTCCTCTTAAATGTATAGCGTGTTTTGTTTTGTTTTGTTTCAACATTTCAAAAGTTAATCTTTGGGGCACCTGGGTGGCTCAGTCAGTTAAGCATCTGCCTTCAGTTCAGGTCATGATCCCGGGGTCCTGGGATGAGCCCAGAGTAGGGCTCCCTGCTCAGCCAGGAGTCTGTTTCCCCTCTGCCCCTCCCCCTGCTCCTGTGCTCGCTCTCTATCAAATAAATAAAATCTTTTTTTTTTTTAAAGTTAATCTTTCATACTACATAATTTTTATCACTCACAACCAGAAAGATTTTGTCCAATATTATTTGTGGTAAATTACAAAAATCACATACATTGCATATATGCTTGTCAATTCCGTAGGTATACCGAAGACTTTTGCTTATCCTTATCCCTGAAAACATAACCCCAACCCATAGGAGTTATAAAGCAGCCAATTCAGATCGATTTTTAAATCTTGGTTTAGAAAATATAAATGCATACATTATCTTCCTCTCACATAAATAGGTGTTTCGTGAAATCCATCTGGTTAGAAAATGAACCCAGAGAAGCCAGCATGTCTTCAAGTAAAGAGTAAGACTCCTTTCAATTTATGCTCTGAGGGACAGCACGACCCTAACAGTGCATTCTATGTCACCTTCTTCATCTGCGATACACAAGTAATTGGCTCAGCTTCAAGGAACCTGTAAACTATTTACTTGCTTTTAAGGTTTACAAATTTAACAGAATAAAAGACAATTATAACTTTAATGCTCCCCCAGGTGAGGAGGAAAATAGACAGTTCCCCAAAAGGAAACTTTTGAAACAAAACTGTTACAAACTCAAGATAGGGCAAAATACTATTAGAGTCACCAAAAAATGAAGAACTGAGGAAGATGTTTCCTGGACAATGGCTTAACCTTATCTGAAAATTTCTAGCAGTCCAAAAAAGGTTTTTGATCTAAACAGCTATTCCTGACTGATGTTTCTCCTGTAATTCTGAGTATGGGAAGAATGGAGGAACTGGGCTCTGGTCTTCCAGGGCAGATGTGTGTTAGCACCGCTCGTTTTTGGCCGCGGGCCGCCATCGTATACTCTATGTCAGTTTCATTCTGAGGGGTTTTACGAACGTCAGTAACCACATTATGGCCCTGCGGTGCACGAGGGGGGAGATCACTGAACGTGCTTGTAAGTAAAATAAGTGCAATTAGGCCCACAAGGAAAGTGAAGAGGGTTTTATAAAGGTTGCACGTGCAAATGCAGAAGGACTGAGTCACACAACTGACAGAAGCTGTGTCGCACACCTTGCAAAAATGAACTGTGCCTATGCATTATTTGCATAGGCTACAAGAGGCAAAGAAACACAATGGACAAGATGAATAAACCTTGTGGGTGTGGCTAGCAAACCAGCACCACTGCCCAGTAGTGTAATGTTAGTTCGGGAGAAGGTGGGAAGTTTGCTCAAGAGCTCAAATGGAGGCAACTGTGAGCATGCTGCTCTCGAGACCTGGGTTAAGCGGAGTCATTTGTGTTGTCGGATGAAGACTCTTTGGAATCTACACAGGGCAACAGGCCCATGAACCATAGCAATCTAAGGTGTTTACCATGATACTTTCACAGATACTTCAAGGAGGCCTGTTCAACGGAGTCTCAAAAAGAGAAGTTGAATAAGAACAGAACATATTTTTAACAAAGAGGAGAAAAATGTGCTCAATTTTAAAGCTTTGATGTATCAACTCATACTCCCATTAATATATCTACGAATAAAGGCTTAAGACTTTCTAAAGATTAAATGCATTAGAGCAATTATATACTAATTAGACCTATGCTAGATTTTAACTTAGTAAAATCGTGTTTAGACATTTATTGTTTACGGTTTCATTCTTCATTTCTATACCCTATCCCCATAATCCTCATAATGGACAGCAGATACTAGACAAACTCATTATCTTTAATTTATCCATTTCTCTATATTTTTTCCTTTTAAGTTTTAAATAAAGAAAATAATAGCCAGGATATAATAAAGACTTTTTAAAAATTATTAAATGAAGCTTAAAAAATAGGAAATGCTTCCTTCTTAGGTAGGACTATATTATGGGTTCTCTCGAATTCAAGGGGACTGAAATTTCTTCATAAAAATGCTGAGAACAAGATATTTTAAGACTCCTGCAAAACATGAAAAATATAACTAAGAGAACAGAACACAAATGTTAACATTATCTATTTATCTGCAGTTGCCAAGAGAGTGAAAAGATTAAAAAAAAAAAAAAAAAAAAAAACACCCCCAAGCCCCTATACTTTAGGCAGAAGTAATTCAAAACCAAAAGCCATTAAAAGTATCACATTTTGCTACTGATTTCCATTATAAGGCCAGCTCTCTCTCCCGAGAACTTTTTGTAGAGATGGTGTTCAGATAGCCAGCAAGGGAAGCTATCCTAGTTCTTCAACTGTCTCAAGTGAGCACCTTGACACACGGGTAGAGTGCGTGCTATGGGCTAGCTCTTCCCATCTTCCACAGAAACTACCTGATTCCCAAGTAGCAAAAATTAAAGCTCCGCTGGCAGAGCTGCCATGTCTTGGTAGTCAGAGGAATTCGATAAATAAAAACTGCTTCTGTGATTTGTTTTATTAAGCAACATCTAAGAAACAATACAAATGCCCACCCTACCCCGCCCCCTAAAATCTGTTTTCTGCACCAGAAAGGTTGCTCTCGTAAATGGCACGCTAGTTTTGCCAAGTCCATCCTGGTCGCCTTCCATAGCACACGCACCATATTGGCTTTCCTTCTAAGCATCCTTTGGCCCCTGGTCCTCGATCCATTTAGAGCCAAGCCCTCTGCCCATCTCCCTCTGTATCTATTTAATATCCCAGCTCAATTACTATCACCTTGGTGATGACTCATTTACTTCTCCTGCCCAGCCCTGTTGCCAGAGCATGCGATCTAGCCCTGCCTGGCCAAAGGGATGCGTAGACACCTCAAACGTAGCGAAGCCCCTTCAAACTCACATCTTCGGTGTCCCTTATCTCAGAAAACACCACTATCACCCATCACGTGCCCAAGATAAAACCTACAGGCACCTGTGCCATCTTCTCCTCTTTCTTACCCTCAACATCAATCTCCTCACCAACCCTTGAGTATTCCATCCCCTAAGTCCTTGTGGGACCTTCCCAGGTCTAAGCTACCAACTCTGGTGTGAACCATTTCAGCAACTGGTTTCACCAATCAGTCTTGGTCCCCCCCCTCCAATTGATTCTCAATATGGCTTTCAGGATGAGCTCTCAAAAACACCTAGCTAATGATGTCAGTTTCTGCTTCAAATCGTCTGATGGCTTCTTACTGCCATTAGGATCAAGTCTACATTCCTTAAGGACACTTACAAAGCCCTCCAGGATCTGATCCCTTCCCACTTACAGCTCAGGTCCAGCCTCGTCTCTCTCAACTCCTGCCACTCTGACCTCCTTTCAGTTCCCGGGTACAGAGCTTTCTTTCTCTTGCCCCAAGCAAGAGAAAGAGAGAGAAGAGAGAAACTGCCTCCACCTTAGCAGCTATCCCTTCTGGTCAGCACTCCCCGCCCCACCCCTGCAATCTCCCTTTCCTCTGGCTAATTCTCAGCTCTCCTTCAGTCCAAATACCACTGGTACTTCCTCAGGGCTACCCTTTCTGGCTTTAGAACTAGCTCAGATCCTCCTGTTATATGAACCCACAGCATCCTGAAGGGCCCTAGCAGAATGCAACCTGATAAACAGGCACACGGAGTAAACATCCATTAAATGAATGAAAAGAAATGCAGAGGAAAGACATCCTAAGATACCAAGTGGTGCTGGATCTCCACTCAGCAGGTGAAAAGGAAGCCTCCCCCAGACCACAGTAATTCTGTGCAGAAATCTGACATCCACAGGTGCTGAACTCTGCTTTATGCTGTGTCACGGGAGAGGAGTAGCTCTAGCAGTGTGGTTCTAACGTGCGGCACCGAGGGAGACAGAGGACAGGGACTTACTTCAGTAAGCGAATTGCATGGCTGAAGCCATCACCTTCCATTTGCACTCCTTGATGGGGAATCTCCAGATTGGACAACTGGTAAGAGAAAAGGAGGAAGATCAGACCACCAACTTTACAAAGGAAACTACCTTTTGTAAGTACTAGTGTCTATTCTCGTGGCACCTGTTTCAGGGCCACTCTCTTCCAAAGTAACAACATGTTAGACATGCGCACTGAGTTCCATCATCTGATTTCCTGGGCAACTATATTAAATCCTGTGAAACCCAAAGATGACCCAGAGCTTCTAGTTTTTAAAAAAAAAAAAAAAAACACAACACACCCCGAGTGGCAAATCTTCAGAATTCTGGAGACTAATCTACTCCGGCAGTGAGCCAAAAGTCATCCAGAATCAATCCTGGTGGTTCCAACTGATGCAAGTGTAAAATAAGACTGGTTTTCTTATGTTTTTCTTAATTATGTCTGTTCAAAACAAAGTCTGAGTCATAGTCACATCCTACTTTTAATCACAGACAATAGTTTTTAGCATATAACTTTTCTGGAATACTTTTTTTTAAAGATCTTATTTATTTATTTATTTGAGAGAAAGAGAGCGAGCGAGAGAGAAGGGGAGAGAGGGAGAAGCAGGCTCCCCGCTGAGAGGGGAGCCTGACGTGTGGCTCGATCCCAGCTGAAGGCAGACACTTAACTGACTGAGCCACCCAGCCACCCCTCTGGAATACATTTTTATTTTTAACAATTAAACTACTTCCTGTTGTGAAACCCAGGAAGACTTCCAATTTATGCATTTACCCAATGAGATAGCTTTCCCAACTGGAGGATTCAGAAAGTGAGTTAAGAAGATGAATGCGTGAGACCCCGTAAGTGGAACTGCAGGTTATGTAGGTATGCCAAAAAGTCATCTGATGATCTACCGGAGAGAAGCTGGTCTTTGGCACATATTCACAGGTCTTCTATGGCAAGCTATTTATTTACACCCACCTTGTTCCAGAAAGGATTTAAAGTAGCCCTAAGTATTTGACTGAGCCCTGTTCTTTCGGCCTGGGAAGGGCAGAGGTTTAAGAAAAATAGCTGCTAACCCTATAAATAGGCCATAGGAGTTCAGATTCAAAAGGAGGCCAAGTGTAGGAGGACTCAAAAACACCGTCTCTGTCCTATGGATCAGAGATATAAACATCCCTGGTAAGATTAGATTGAGTTATTCACATCTCAGTATAAAGTACTTTAGGCAGAAAATGTGTTTGCTTTTGTCTTCAACAGGGCTTTTTCACTGAGATAAGAAAAAGTAGGCTGTTTAAGAGCTTGAGGGTCTTTCAACAGAGTACTACTATACAATGTTCTTACATGTCCTATGTGTGCAACAGGTATAGGAGCCCAGGGAAGAGGGACAGAGAGGACTAGGTCTACAGGTGTTAGGCTACATGAGCACTACAGAGACAAGTTTTTGCAAGTTTTGCAGGTGGTGAGGGTGGAGGGCAGGCAGGGAGAGACACATCACATTGCCCCCAGGTACCAGGTAGCCTCCCTTCCCACTACAAAGGTAGTAAATGAATGACATGCATGTCATCAATCCACAGGGCACAATAAAAAAAGCCCAAGAACACAGTCAAGTAGACAGGAAGCATGGACACTGTCTGTACAGTTTTGGAGCTATATGGCCAGTACCCAGGCAAGAAGACATTCATCAAGCTCACAGTTCTAGGAGCTAGGACATCAGTCATGAGTATCTATTTTAGATGCCTATTTCTGGGCCTCGGTTTCTCTGGGCTATTCCCTTCTTCATAGTTTTACACCTCACCCTCTGGCTCCAGACCTTGAAACCCTACAAAGCAGGGGTCAGCATACAACAGCCCATGGCCCAAATGCAGCCCAATGACTGTTTCTGTAAATGAAGTGTTACTGAAACATAGCCGCACTCATCTGTTTAAACATCAACTATGGCTGAGTCACACTACAAAAGCAGATCTGAGTAGCTATAATAAGAGACCATATGACCCACAATACCTAAAATACTTACTATCTGGCCCTTTACAGAAAAAGTTTGGCGACTCCTGCTCTAAAGCATGAAAGTGTTCAACAAGTCTTCCCAAGACTATCACCATCAGTTTCACTGAAATAATCCACTTCTACATTCCCAGGCCTCTTCTCTTTTTTTTTTTGTATCCTCAATTGTTTTATTCATAAACATTAAAAAAAATCAACTAACCACCTCTAAGAGATAATGTTCCTACTAAGAGGTATGCAAGTAAGACGTTAATACTCAAAAATTGTCCTTTTTTTAAATTAGGAAGAATTTACTTTCCATTTCCATAAAGGGAAGAACGCTCACAATTTGGAATCAGAAAAATGAAATAATGTAAGTCATGTTTTACAAGTACACCATGAGATGCTATGATTTCAACCCCATCCCTCCCAAAATGAACAAGATCACAGCTATTCCGGTTCTCCTAATGGAATCCATGTAGCTTTAGCAAGGCATTTTAAAAATTACTTTTTTTTTTTAAGATTTTTTTTTTTTTATTTATTTATTTGAGACAGAGAGAATGAGAGAGAGAGAGCACATGAGAGGGGGGAGGGTCAGAGGCAGAAGCAGGCTCCCTGCCGAGCAAGGAGCCTGATGCGGGACTCGATCCAGGGACTCCAGGATCATGACCTGAGCCTAAGGCAGTCGCTTAACCAACTGAGCCACCCAGGCGCCCCGAAAATTACTTTTATATAGAGTACTCAAAACTGTTTCAAAAAATTACCTCCAACCGAAGTCCTACGAATGGCATATTTGTATCACACATAGCAACAAAGTGAGCTAGAACTTTATTGAAGGCACACATTTCTCCTGATCGTTTTGTTTTCTTGGGTTCTACTGGACATGGATCATCAGACAACTAGAATTGGGGTAAAAAAAGTACAGGTGATGCAATTAGTTAAGGCAGTTAAACTACTATAGCTCAAGGTTAACAAAAACAAATGTTATGCATTCAACAAGTATTTATTGAGCAAATATTTCAACCTCAATACTGGAAATTTACGTAAATATTGTGTATTTAGCAAACTCTCTTGTGGAAATGGTGTATAATTAATTATTAATTAAGAGAGGCATTTTCAAGAAAATGTAGAAAACTGTTACTTAAACCTGATTGTCCCCCAGTCTCTTACAAACCAGAACTCATTCTTTCCCATGTTAAAAATGGTTAAAGAACACAAGAGAGTTAACACACACCAATCCTGTGCTCACTTCTATATGTGATCCTACCTTGCGCTTGGGACTGGTCCTAGGCTGTTTGCCAGGTTTGGTGCGAAAAACCAAGTCCTGGATGTTTTCCTTGAACTGCTGCAGCAGGAGAGCCACGAGAGGGGTGTCCTCACGTTCTGCAGCGTTCACAGACATGAAGTAGTACTTGTACGACAGCTGCGTGGGTTTATTGGGAACCTCCAACATCTCCACAACCTAAGAAGGCCCAAGTCAGAAATGAGACTCAGAGAAATAATTAATGAGTGTTGCATATTTTCCACCTTATAGCAAGTAGGGCTCAGAAATGTAAATCTAATGTAGATGGTCTTTCTTCTTTAAATGAGGACAAATCAATCATGATTCTCAACAAAAAAAGCATTCCTGTTAAATATATCCTTTGTTCTCTAAAAAATAGATCAGACTAATGAATAAAAGCAAAAACCACCATAAACTACAGAAAATGGGACATTTAGACTATTATAGCATTAAGTGTTCTGGATATTCATATCTTAGCTTAAAACACTGTATGCTTAAGTAAAGCAGAACTGCTAGATTTTCTAGAATGGTATCTACCTATTTCAAATTGCCTTGTTTCCCTTAACCATTAAAACATCCTAAGGGTGCCTGGCTGGCTCAGTTGGTGGTGCATGCAACTCGATCTTGTGGTTGTTGAGTTCAAGTCCCACACTGGGTATAGAGATTACTCAAAAATAAAATCTTAAAAAAAAATAAAACCTCCTAAGAATTCCACTGTTAGAGCCGAGAAAAATGACAAATAACTCTCACAATTGGAAGCATATAAAAATAAACCCTGATAGGGGCGCCTGGGTGGCTCAGTTGGTTAAGCGACTGCCTTCGGCTCAGGTCATGATCCTGGAGTCCCGGGATCGAGTCCCGCATCGGGCTCCCTGCTCGGCAGGGAGTCTGCTTCTCCCTCTGACCCTCCTCCCTCTCATGCTCTCTGTCTCTCATTCTCTCTGTCTCAAATAAATAAATAAAATCTTTAAAAAAATAAAAAAATAAATAAACCCTGATAGATATGGTCATCGTGAGGATGACACCACCACCACCAACAGCCAACACTGATATAGAGTACTAGATGCCACATACTATCCCAAGTATCTGACAGATGTTAACGCATTCAGACCTCCTACTAACTCTGTAAAGAAAGGATTACTGCCTTCATTTTTCTGATGAAGAAACTGAGGCACAAAATACTTAGGTTACTTGCCCAAGGTCTCAAGAGCTGAGAAGCGATGGACTCATGCTTTGATTCCGGTTTGGCTCCAGAGACCTTGCTTTTACCCACTATACCAGTTTACTGTTTTCAAGTTCTACCTAAAATTTAAGAAAAGTCCCCTAAATACTTTAAGGGGAGAAATAAATGCCATTGGACCATTGCTCTGACCAACATATGCTTTCCTGTCTCTCTTCCTGCCTCCTTTCTCTCCCTTATCCCACCCCCTCCCCACACACTCTCTTCAGGAAACTCTTAGGCTAACACCTAGTATCACACTGATGCACGAGGAAATGGAAGAATTAAAAGGAAAATGGATGCTTCACCAGAGAAAATACAGAGATGACAAAAAAAAAAAATACATGAAAAGATATTCAATATCATCAGTCATTAGGGCAGCATAAATTAAGACTACAAAAAAATACCATTATACATCTATCAGAATGGCTAAAATTTACTTATTTTTAAAAGATTTTTATTTTTTATTTTTCAAGTAATCTCTACACCCAATGTGGGGCTCGAACTTACAACCCCGAGATCAAGAGTCCCAGCCAGGTACCCCCAGAATGGCTAAACTTTAAAAATTATAATACCAATGGGGCGCCTGGGTGGCTCAGTCATTAAGCGTCTGCCTTCGGCTCAGGTCATGATCCCAGGGTCCTGGGATCGAGCCCCGCATCGGGCTCCCTGCTCCACGGGAGGCCTGCTTCTCCCTCTTCCACTCCCCCTGCTTGTGTTCCCTCTCTCGCTAGCGCTCTCTGTCAAATAAATAAATAAAATCTTTAAAAAAAAAAAAATTATAATACCAAGTGCTGACAAAAATGCAGAACATCTAGCACTCTCTTGTATTGCCATCAGTAATGCAAAATGGCCCAGCCACTTTGGAAAACAGTTTGGCAAAAGCTAAACATACACTGACATTATAACCTAACCCAACAATCCTACTCCTGGTTACTTATCCCAAAGAAGTGAAAGCCTAAGTTCACTAAAAAACAAAAACAAAAAAACCTATATGCAAATGCTTACAGCAGCTTTATTCATAATTGCACCAAATTGGAAATAACCCAGATGTCCTTCCACCAGAGACTGGTTAAACAAACCATAGTACATCCATACCATGACTACTACTCCAATTACAAGAATGAACTATAATACACATCACAATATGGATGAAAATCAAAGGCATTATGCTGAGTGAAAGAAACTAGACTGATGGGAAAACCTATATAGACATAAAACAGGTCAGTGGTTACCAACTGAGAGTGGGGGGAGGGTCCAATTATAGAGGAGCAGCATGAGAGCATTTTGGGGGTGATGGATCTGTTCTGTGTTCTGCTGAGAGGCGGATTACAATAGTGTATGCATTTATTACAACTCAGACACAGTCTAAACTTTTCCCATATGTAAATTGTATCTTAATAAAGCTGACAAAAGTAAAATGGCAGACATTTAAAGGCAGCAATCCTTTCCTCTGTTCTTAATGTCCCCAGTTTTTCCCACTTCTATGAATGTGTCACCCCTAAGTGAGAAATAAGAAGGATGAAGAGTAACATAGATTCAGTTTTGATCTAAGCCACGTGAAACAAATTATTGCTTTATAATAAACCATTAGTCGTTGAAACTAACGTCTGGTTTCTGTTGATACTAAATAAGGTCAGAAATAATAAAACCATTTTGTCTGTGGCTGAGTATAAGGATCTTTGTGTGTTCAATAGGTTTGATTATTATACATGTATTCTGAGTATCATTCTATATGTAGACTAGGCAGCTCACCAAGGACGGAGACAACAATCCTTTGTCATGTACCAAATCTAGTTCAACAGCTGGGGTTTTAAAATTCAGGAAAAAAGTGAAGTTCACATCAATGACAAACCTATTGCTCTATACAAATAACGCTAACCTCAGATATGTCAGGCTAGACAGGGTACATTTTTTTTTAAGATAGTATCTTTTAAAAATACAACTCAAAATCTTAAAAAAATTCACTCCTATTACCTTCAACCAACAAGCTTGAATTAAGTTTTTCAAATATCTCAAGATTCTTAGCCAAAAATATCTATGTGGTATATACAGAAATTTCTACAAGCAGGGAAATATATTTAGGGTGAATTCATATTTCAAATTCTTACAACTTTTAACCAATTCAAAGATCTCAAAGAAACTAACTACAAAACACCAAGAAATCTAGAGTGAAAAAAGAATAAGAAAGGATCTTACTGTGCACTGAAAGGTACATGCAATCAATAAAAATGCAATTAATAAAAATCTATATATATGCCTTCAATCAGTTAAGGATGAGAATATAAAGCTACTTCAGCCAGCTGTATTTAAAAGGATGCATTATGCAAGTTAACATTTGATTAAAAGCAAGCAAGTTTATCTGATACCAAAACATCTCCACACACCTTCACAGTAGTTGCTTTCAATGTTTTCCCTCCCATAGAGAGGAGATGCTTCATCCCGAAGAGAAACTAGGCCTCACTACAGGAAAGATCTGAGGGTGAGGGATGGAGACATACCTTATATTCCCCAACCCTGCCTGATCATTGTATCATTTCATAGACATGATTTTCCTCTCTCCCCCATCCCTACCTCCTAGGTTGAGAATCACTAAAGTCAAATATCCAATAAAATGTTTGCAATTAAATTAAGCAATAAATCATGTGAAATACTAATAGAATTACTGAACTTGATCATCCAAATCCCCCCTTTGCATACTTACAATGTAATACTGAGGAAGACGGGTAAGTTTAATGAACAGCTTATTCTTAGAAAGCTTTCCAATAGGATGGGTTGAGTAATTGGACAGCTGCAATGTTTCACTGCTTATTGTAGGCAGATGTTTTATAGATTGCTTGCAACGCTGCTGTCCAAGCCAAAACCTTAATTGAAAGGAGATAATTCACATCACAAAATCATAAGTTCTTCTGATTAACTGTGTGCAACTAATTTGTAAACTGATTACTGAAGATTCACCACTAAAAAATAACAATCTGAAGTTTAACTGAACTAGTAAAAAGACACATAACCATAATGATGAATCATTTCTCCAAGTTTTGCATTGGTCTGTTAGTTCTAGTTCTACTTTAAAGAGCTGAAACTACAATGTGAATGATTTTATTTAGTCATAAGGTAGAATTAACTAGTATTAAAGCTGGGACACTGTAGCAGTGTATTAAAGAAAATGACGGATTTCCTATGGTTTATTAAGACAGCAATAACTGGGCGCCTGGGTGGCTCAGTTGGTTGAGCGACTGCCTTCGGCTCAGGTCATGATCCTGGAGTCCCTGGATCGAGTCCCGCATCAGGCTCCCTGCTCGGCGGGGAGTCTGCTTCTCTCTCTGACCCTCCCCCCTCTCATGCTCTCTGTCTCTCACTCTCTCTCTCTCAAATAAGTTTAAAAAAAAAAAAAAAAAAAAAAAAAAGACAGCAATAACTAACCTCAACATCTTTTATAAAATGCCTGAAATGTTTATAAAAGAAAATAAAACAATAAACAGGTATAAATGTACCTAATTTTTCTAGTATCACTAGAGATATATAGTCCCAGTTTTTATACTGTGTATGTGTAAAGTGATGGTTATATCAGGCAGGTGCCTATAAGTATTAATTACCTTTTTTCCCTCCTCTCTCTCGGTTAAGCCACCAGATTTTAGTTTGATGCTTTTTATAGTATTCCTCTCACTTCTTTTATTTGATTAGCTATCATTGAGGCTAGACACTGTGTATATGTGTGTAAAATATATGGAAAAAGTACTGTACTAGTCACATGCAGCAAAACCATGTCATAAAATGACTGGTCCATAAACTCTCACTGGTTCACAGTGAAATAACTACAGAGTATAAGAATACAAATTTAGAAACTTTCCACAGCGACGTAACAATTACAACATCTAAGCTCACGATCAGCAGGCTGGCCTGGCTCAACAGGGCACAGACCAGCTCAGGCGCTGCTGCAATTTATGTAGTGAGCTGCATGTGGTACAAACTCTGTACTAGTCACGTGCAGTAAAACCAGGTCATAACATACAACACTTTAAGGGTAGTTTGTCAACTATTACCCAAAAATGTATAAAGTCTAGAAAGCAGTTTTTTTTTTTTTCACTGAAAACAACTTAAATTTATCTGCAACTTCACAGGATCAACTGCTAGAACTGGCTATAAATGAAGAAATGAAGATAAATTTTGAAGATGCAACAATACTTGCTATGTTTTAGATAAAAGTTAAAAATGAATGTTCTGAACTTGCCAAAACTGCTTTCAAATCTCTACTTCCATTCCCATCAACATGTGAGACTTTGTGAGACTGGGATCTCCATTATGTATGTTTTTGAAGAAAAATAGAAACAGTTAAGATATACGTTATTTCCTGTGATTAGCATCATCATCAACCCAATCTAGACTAGTTCCAACAAGCAAGAAACAAGCCCATTTGTCACATTAAAAATTCTAAATACAAGATAGTATCAATACAATATAAATTCTAAATATATACAAATGTGTATTTATATAAATTTTAAATACAAGATACTCTCTTCAATGTGCACACAGAATTGTCATTTTACTCTTTTTGTTTTGATTTCATGGAAAAATCTGAACGTAAGAGTGAATTTTCTGTATTAACTGTCTATGTACACTTCCAATGAAAAATGTGTATAGATTTTTTTTATTTTTATACTGTTCTATGTTTACTGAGATGTAATTTTCTGTTGGTTCTTACAATTAAAAACTGGGGCTTTTATTTTACACGTTTTTTCATTTCTTTTTTTAGAATTTGTTTTCGTTGCACGTTATAAGAAATCACATGAACAGATGCTCAACATCTTCAGTCATTAGAAAAATATAAATGAAAACAACAATGCAATACCTCATTACACTCACTAGGATGGTTATAGTAAAAAACAGTAACAAGTGTTGGCAAGAATGCAGGGAAACGGAAACCCTCAAATACTGCTGATGCGATTTTAAAAAGGCACAGCTACTCTGGAAACTAGTTTGGCAGTTTCTTTAAAAAGTTAAACATAAATTTACTGTGACTCAGCAATTCCATTCCTAGTGGAATGAAAATGCATGTCTACACATAGACTTACACGTGAATATTTAGAACAGCATTATTCATAATAGCCAAAAAGCGAAACAACCCAGGGGCGCCTGGGCGGCTCAATCGGTTTAAGTGGCCGACTCTTGATTTAGGCTCAGATCATGATCTCAGGATCATGAGATCGAGCCCCACATCAGGCTCCTGCTCAGCGGGGAGTCTGCTTGAAATTCTCTCTCCCTCTGCCCCTCCCCCTGCTTGTGTGCGCCCTTCTCTCTAAAATAAATAAATAAATCTAAAAAAAAAAAAAAAAAGGTGAAACAACCCAAGTATCCGTCAATTTATGAATGGATCAACAAAATGTGGTACAAAGCCATATAGTGGAATATTATCCAGCCATAAAAAGGAATTAAGCTTTGATACCTGCTACAAAATGGATGAACCTCAAAACAGTAAGCTAAGTGAAAAGAAGCAAGTCACAAATGACCACATACTTTATGATCCTACTTATATGAAATGTCCAAAAAAAAAATCTGTAAGAACAGAAAGTAGATTCATAGTTGCCTGGGGCTCAGGCTGGGAATGGGGGTTAACTGTAAATGAACACCTTTTTGAGGTGATGAGAATGTTCCAAATGTCTTAAAACTGGATTGTGATTATGGATGCAAAACTCAGTAAATTTACAAGTCCTTAAAATAGGTGAATTCTCTGGTACAGAAATACTTCAATAAAGTCATTTCAAAAACATTAATGTCCCATGATAGATTAGCAATCAACTGGTCATTCACCAAAGATCATTTGAGAAGCACTATTGTAAGTGATAACCAGGGGACCTTTCTCAGAAATTATGTGTTTAAGTACAGAGACACATTTGATAAGTTTAAGGCTTTGGGGACTTAGCTTTCTGGTTTTATGTTATATTTCTGCTAGCTGGACTGCCAGATAATCTTGAGTCATGCAAGATGTGAGTTATTAAGCATTTAAGTATTTAAACCTTATTCGTTTAGCCAAATGCACAAAAATATGCTAAATCACTAAAAATTTTGGAATGTGTTACCCAGAATAATGATTATCATTTTTCATATACAATTACACTAAGCAGCTGTTCAAAAGGAGGCTCATAAAACACTATCTACTGGCATTAAAAATCTTATCTTGTTAATGAAAACATTACCTGATTATAGTGAAGTCTTCAAATATTTATACAACTCAAACTGGCAGCGAGAAGGGGTAAGGCTAGATCACAAAATCAACAGAGCTCTCTGAACAGTCTAGCCCCCTCCCCCCTTCTCCATTTGCCAGTTTGGGTTTTGATCTCTGAAATTTATTTTTATCCCTTGGAATTCTGTTTTATTAATTTTAAAAAAGAGTTTGTTAGAGTTGCCATAATGGACTCTTTAGTTCCATTTCCAGTGTTCTTTAGTTTAACAGTATGAAGCACTCAAAGGATTTTGAGACAGTATTGAATGACAGTGTTAGAGAAGCAGAAACAACTATTCTGGAAGTGTCAGCTGGTAGATTCATACCATGAAGATTATCCGGGGTAATAAGACTCTACTGCAGAGAACACTAGATTCAATAAAATTCACTGTGATTTATACAGTGCTTTTACAGGAGGAAATGTGGCAAGGAATGAAAAGTAGAGTGCCATGACCTTCAAACCTGTATTTGCTCTGAAAGGGAACTGGGTACAAAACACTGCCATCTCGGCCCTATTCCAAGAGAATTTCGATTCCAAGTACCAAAAGGTGCTCAAGTTTCATGTCATAAACATTAAGGACAGTGACTGATCAAGAGTAATGATGGAGAAGAAAATATATCATACCAAAGTAACTTTCCATTTTTAGTCTTGAGCTAAATAAATAAGCTTACTTCAGTTGTTGAATCCAAGGGATAATTCGTTTCATATCATCGTTCACAGACTTCTCCATGTCATCCAGCGTGGCCTGGTCTATAGAATATAGCACTTCATTAATTCACTGCTTACATGAGGCATAAAATATTTAGGTAGCCCAAAACTTACACGAAAATTATTGTTTTAGGCAGAAAGTAATGTTATTTTTGAGTCAGAGAAAAACCAAACTAAACGTATCGTCAGGCATCAATTAACCCAATTTGTTTACCCTCTTTAACATTTAAAGAGAGTTACAGGACAACTAATTAATAGCAAATGTACACTAGCAGGATGAACAAGTAACAAATACAGGAATTAATTCTTTGCCTACATTTTAATTCCCAAAACTCTTGGTGTAGTTAATTTTTTTCACTTACATGTATTTCAAATTCCTAGTATCACTAAACTTAGAACCTTAGAAGTGCAAAAACTATAAAACTCCATTAAAATGTTTATTTATTGGGGCGCCTGAGTGGCTCTGTCGTTAAACGTCTGCCTTCGGCTCAGGTCGTGATCCCAGGGTCCTGGGATGGAGCCCCACATCGGGCTTCCTGCTCAGCAGGAAGCCTGCTTCTCCCTCTCACACTCCCCTTGCTTGAGTTCCCTCTCCTGCTGTTTCTCTCTCTCTGTCAAATAAATAAATAAAATCTTTAAAAAATAAAACGTTTATTTATTAAACACAAATAATTTCTGGCATAAGCAAGAGCTGTTGGCTTAAGTTCAGCTTGCTAAATGTCACTTAGAATTTTCAATGACACCAAAAAATGTTATAATAGCATGTTGCACAAAAAGCAAAATATAAAATGATTTCAACTAAAGAAAAAAGTATGGAGAAAATCAGAATACCATTGCTATGGAAATTCGTATGTTGAAGCCCTAAACTCCTATGTGATGGTATTCAGAGGTGGGGCCTTTGGGAGATAATTAGGTTTAGACGAGGTCATGAGGGTATAGGACTGAGGTCATGATGTGATTGGTGTCTTAAAAGAAGAGACACTGGAGAGCTTGCCTTTCTGCCACGTGATGACAGAGAGAAGGCCTACATCTCCAAGCCAGGAACAAAGCCCTCACCAGAACCCAACCATGCTGGCAACCTGATCTTAGACTTCCAAACTCCAAAACTGTGACAAAATGAAATTCTACTGTTTCGGCAAACCTCTCTGTGGTTCTTTGTTATGGTAGCCTGAACTGAGCCAAGCATATATCCTCTAAAACAAGAATGACTGCCAACAGGTAACTATTTTTTGTTTCTCTCATTTTACACGTTCATCTTCCTTCTTTACGAGTATGTATTATGTAAAAAGTCAAGAAAACAGTTAAATAAAAAAATTTTTTGAAGAACAATTGCCTTGTGCTTTGGAACCATAGTTAAAAGGTAATTCCTAAGTGTGCCACTTATCATTTAGCCAACATAAATGCAACGTGATTCAAAGTAACGAGACCAGCGTTCTATGAACAATTCATAGACAAATTTATCTTTATACAGTATAACCAGAAAACCTTTTATTTTCATTGATCTAGCTTAATATTAATTTCAAGCGGTAAATGTGCTAATATGTGCAAGAACACTGTTCCATTAGCAATACAAAAACACTAAGTGCCAAGTGGTTCATCATTTCAGACCACCAACTTGGTAACAGATCATGTTAGAAATCCAATGTTAATGTCTACTGTGTTTAGGCTAGGAACAACAACAACAAAAAAACCCAAAAACCCTCTTCTCCAGGATTCTGTATCCTAAGTTAACATTTAGATGTTTACACTGTCATAAATTTGTTCTTCAGCCATGAGTGACATCAGAATCCTCTGTAGTTGTTTCCATGTCACCCAACTATGAGTGGTAATATCGCTAATCTAAAAAACATCAGCCATCAACGTTATTACTTTTACAAAAAGAGAAACAACATGAATGCACTTCATGTTGGGAGGTTTAATTTTTGATACAAGAAAATCCAAAGGAGACTTAAAATTGGCCTCAAGGAATAGACATCAGCCAGTGCTCGCTTCGGCAGCACATATACTAAAATTGGAATAGACATCAGCCAGAGTTATCCCTTCCACATAGACTTTCTGTACTGCTAAACCACCCCCTCCAATACCAGAGGTAATGGCAGAAAAATTTTAGTTTGCTTTTGTGAAAGCATTCTTCTTTACGCTGAGTGACTATCATTGAGTCACGTACCAAGTCCATAAAGCATCAACTGAAACATTCCAGAATGCAAGTCTACAAAAATGTGCAGACACTCTGAGTTACCGCAGGGCTCCAGGATGGGAACAACAAGAGCTGGAAGTGCAGTCTCTATGGAAGCTGAAAGGTTAAGAAGGAAAAAATTATATTTCTATCTGAATATTTTATAGAAAAAAAAATATTTCTCAGTGAGTAGAAACAAATGAACTATCAAACAATCCTCAATGTTAAAGGAAAAACAGGATTTTGCAAAATTGGAATAGGACTATTATGTCAATTAGTAGCTCAAAAGGAAGAATGTATTCCCCCGAGGTGACTTGGAACAAACAGACCCCTCTCGAAATACTACAGCAAAAAAAAATCCCCAGATTCCTTAAAAAAGGTTAAAAGAGCTAGTGAAAACATGAACTTCATCAGTGAGCTGAGTTCTAGTTTTACTTCCATTCAGTAATTACTAAGTAGTTAGTTTTTAAGGATTTTCTTTTTGATACGTGGGAAGAAAATTGGTAAATAGAATAAATTTCATCTAGGCCTCAATATTTTCAATGCTGTTCTTCAAAAACAGAGGTTTTCTGGCAATTAGGGCCTGTGTGTTAAAAAAAACAAAAACAAAAACCTGAAAACCATTACACATTATTGCTATATAAGAAAAAATTTTTTCCGGTTATTTATGCAACCTCATTTTCAAGTCACAGATGAAATAAGAACACAAGCAACTGTTAAACACCAATTTCCAAAGTTGCCAATGTACTTGTTCTAGAGCTTCATAGTATTTCCACCAGGCCCAATTAACTCTTCCCTTAATCCCACAAACTGGCGTAACAAAACCCAGTAAAGGAGCAAAGCACAGCCCCTGCCTCTCAGATTGAGGAGTTATAAAAGGAATATACTCTTCTAGTTACCACGCTCCTCTAACGCTACAGCACAGAAGAAAAGGCAGGCAGTGAGCAGAGTGGTAATGTAGGCCTAGCCTTTCACCAGGTGACTTGTCTGTGCTACTCTGTTAAACAAGAACAATAACATCTTCCTGTCTATGCCATGGGTCCTTAGGAGGAAGAAATGACAAGTTTGTGAAGGTGCTTTAAAAAGCAAAGTGCTGGGCGCCTGGGTGGCTCAGTTGGTTAAGCGACTGCCTTCGGCTCAGGTCATGATCCTGGAGTCCCTGGATCGAGTCCCACATCGGGCTCCCTGCTCGGCAGGGAGTCTGCTTCTCCCTCTGACCCTCCCCCCTCTCATGTGCTCGCTCTCATTCTCTCTCTCAAATAAATAAATAAAATCTTAAAAAAAAAAAAAAAGCAAAGTGCTCAACAACGTACATTATCTATAATCCTCTATGAATCAAAGAAACAAACCAAAACCTCTTATTAGGAATTTGCACTATAATTAAAATGGGTGAAGTTACCGTTGGTGCGATCCATACAAAGAAATTATCAAACAAGTTAATAAAGCCAAAAAATGGCAGGAGACATATTTAATCAGATGAAAACAAATTTCTTTCAAGTAGATCTACCACGTATTTGTAAAGAAATGTTTAACAACACAGAGCCAGCAGAACTATCACCTAAAACACAAAAGAACAAAAAGGTATAGAAATTTCTTTTACAGTATTTTATAATTCAGAGCAGTGTGAGAAATTAGTTCAGATTATGTTTTGCTGAATTTACTGTTAATATAATAAACAGTGCTTATAGAGTTGAAGCAAGATTGCCGATTTTTAACACATATCTGTACTGTTATAAGTCCTAATGGATTAGAAATGTATTCTTTAAAGCAAAACCATTTTTATTTTTGTTTTTTTCTTTTAAATTCAATTAATTAACATAGAGTGTATTCTTAGTTTCAGAGGCAGAGTTCAGTGATTCATCAGTCTTATATAATACCCGGTGCTCATCATATCACGTGCCCTCCTTAATGTCCCCCAACCCCCCTCCCCCCCAGCAACCCTCAGTTTGTTTCCTATGATTAACAGTCTCTTACAGTTTGTCTCCCTCTCTGATTTTGTCGTTTTATTTTTCCCTCCCTTCCCCTCTGATCCTGTTTTGTTTCTTAAATTCCACATGAGTGAGATCATATGATCATTGTCTTTCTCTAGCAAAAACATTTTTAAAGTGGAGAAATGATGTAAAGCTCATTCTGACAATTGGGGTAACAATTATAATTTCAATCTAATTATCAAAATTGAGTACTCCTGAAAAGACAGGGCAGAGAATATAGAAAGCACAGTCCAAAAGATAAAAAATACTTTGATGTGTATCCCTCCTAACTGCCAATGTCCATATTTTTCTTTACGGAAAATAAAATCCATAAGGTCCTAAGCATTTAAAGGCAACTGGTTTGAAGGTATCCAAACAAGGCGAAACTTACCAATAAAATATAGAAGAATTAAAGGCTGTGCAAGCCTACAGGATGGTACACTACTACTTCCTGCAGCAGGAATGTATGTATCAATCTCTTTTGTTTCTCCCTGTCTATGTATTGAGGACCAGATGAGGAACGGACCGATACACAGTAATATAAAGTGTGAAGATGAAAGAGAGGCAACTAAGCCCGCTTCTGAACTGCCCCCGAGACCCTGATTCTGGCGCTGCCACATCGCAACAGGAGGGAGCCTACCCTGGCTTTCAAGAGACAGGAATGCTGCAAACGGGGCTACCTGACACGTGACCTTACGTGCGCCCTGCACTGCCTTTTTTGACCTTCTCTCCAAAGTTCTGCCTACTCTGCTTCGAGACATTCCCACCCCCATGAAACCACACACTGCCATCTAGACTGTCCAAAACCTGCTGTCTGTCCATTCCCCCAGCCCTCCCTTGAAATGCTCCCTTGTCCAAGCTACTCATTTCTTGGGCTTATGACAGTGAGGAGTGGGAAGAAAAGCCAGGTGATTAAGGGTGATTGCACTAAAGGATTCCAAGAACAGTCCTTGGTCCCAGTAAAGGATGTGACTAAAGCATGTTTTCCCATCACAAAAGGGATCAAGTAAGACAGCATGAAGAATACAAATGCACGAACACGAGTTTAAAAACAAGTTAAAGCATATGTTGTAAAATGGTGGGTCCGCAGGCCCTTTCCTATAGCAGTCCTCATTTCCAGAACCGTTCTGATCAACGCAGGTCTGAGGGGCCCAACCCCACACGCAAGCACCTACCTACCTCTCCTTCCTCCGAAACACAGTACAGTCTCCAAAGCACCTCTCTCTCACACCAGGACTCCACAGACATGCAGAACATGAAAACCACTGCTGGAGCATACTCCCACTAAAGGCAGAGATCTAGGAAGAGCCTGGACTAACATCCTTGAGTTACAGAAGAGAATGGGGCCCAAAGAGTGTTACTTGTTCAAAAGCACACAGCTCTACTCAGCGCTACTCAACCTTCTGGCTGCCCAACCAGTGAGATCTCTACAAAATGGCGCTGAAGAAAAATCTTTGCAACTTATATTAACAAGACAAAACTATTCTTATGTAAATACTTGGTTAGTCTATTTTTCAAAGTAATTTAAATATCCCCTGGGCAATCGCAGTTTTTTTACTTACTACTACTAATAAACCTTGTTTGTGGAGGATACTAAAATAAACCAGAGCCTATCAAAAGAACACAAACTCTGATTTTCCGCAATCCCAACAAATTTTAGAATTTTACTATTTTGAAAAGTTAGAAGTTAAAAAAAATTAAGATTGCAAAAATCCTTAAGTCTTCTTTACAAGGGTGCCAAGACAATTAAATGGGAAAATTGTTTTTTTTTTTTCAGCAAATGTTACTGGAACAATTGCATATCCCCAAACAAAAGAAAACAGCTGGACCCCCTACTTCACACCACATACAAAGATTAACTCAGAAAGTAACCTAATATAAGAGCTAAAACTATGAAACTAAAGACAGATGAAAAGATGTTCAAGAATCATTAGACTAATGCAAATCAAAATCACAGCAGATACATCAGTTCACACCCACCAGGACAGCTAGAAACCAAAAGACAGTAACTGGTATTGGTAAGTATGCAAAGAAACTGGAAACCTCACAACACTGCTGGTGATGAGATTATAAGGTGGTGTTAAACATGTAAAAAGGTAAAACACAGTTACCAAAAGACCCAGCCCTTCCACTACTAGGTACATGGCCAAGAGAAATGAAAACAGGTCCACACCAACACCTGTACAAGAATGTTCAAAGCAGTGTTATTCATCATAGGAAAAAAGAGTGGAAGTGATGTGGAAAATAAAGGCAGAAGGAAATGTAGATAAAATTAAATGTCCTTATAACATGCAGCCCATTGACAAATACTTGAGGCAGGCAGAGTATAATGCTCCTCCAGGAAGCTCCCAACTGTCTTAATGTTAATGCCTTGCTAGAGGGAAAAACAACCTTGGTTTGACAATAGCAAGGCCTCAGGTTTCCCCAGAATTCTTTTAGCATATGAAAATCCTTTTGAAACTTCCCTTATCTTTACTTCCCCTCACCCCAAAGTATATCATCTGTTGCTTCTCACAATCCCAGGGCAGCCTCTCCTTCTGCCCACGGGTCCTATCCCCGTGCTTTAATAAAACCACCATTTTGCACCGAAGATGTCTGAAGAACTCTTTCTTGGCCATTGGCTCTGGACCCCACCAAACACACCAACATCCAAAAACTATGCCATTTGGTGCCCAACGTGGGGTTCAAAAGTCTTGGCATCTGGACTCCGAGCTTCGGTGCACACTTGGGGAGTACTTTGCTCTCCCTTTACTCTCATTTCAGTGGCTCTTCAAGGAGTACAGTCTTATTGGAACCCTTTCATGTCGACTGCCCAAGCTCCAATCCTCTAGCCCATGGCTACTCTACAGGGAGGAGAAAGCCTGCCTTTTGGCTGGAAGTTAGTACAATGGCCGGAATGGTAACGAGACCCAGAAACTTGATGCCCTCTCTTTATTCCTGTCCTCATAAAAAGTTGTCTTTCTTGGACACAGGACAGCCACCTAAGTGACTAGCATGGCTACCAATCTTAAGACTCCCACGTGAGGTTTCCTCCTTACTCGTTGAATGTGATCCCTTTCCACATCCCTGGTCTTGCCATTTCTGGCCTCAAGACCTCCACTGGGATCCGGCTGAAACCAGTACTCAATTGAATTAAAACCCAACCTG